AACAAGAGACTGCAGCGAGGACCGTCGCCTGGTGAGCATGAAACTTGCGTATTTCCTGATTGAGTCAGTTCACTGACATGACTTCACCAATCCACCGCGGAGACGGCATACTCACTATGAGGCTCGAGGAGATGTGGAGGGCGCGCACCCACTGCTGGAGGCACCAGAGGCGACAACAAGAGACAGCACCGGTGATCTGGTGAACGTGAAACTTGCTGCACAATCCTGATTCAGTCAGTTCACCGACATGACTTCACCGTGAAGACGACATACTCACCATCAAGCACGAGAAGATATGGGAGGTGCGCGTCCGCTTTTGCAGCCACCAGAGGAGTTCATTCTCATCGTGCTGATGAATGTGAACCGCCCATACACTGATGTAGTGAAGGCCATGATAGTCTTGATGCAGCAAGGTGCGTAACGAGTGATGAGATATAATGAGGATGAAGGAAGAGAAGAGATGAAGCTGCAAAGGCCAGAAGATATAGAGATGGAAAGGCAGCCACGCTATGCCCACATGATAGGCGCACACAAGGCTTCAGCTGAAACACGTGGCAATCAGTACTCATTGGCCTGAGAGCGTCCGCGGTCGGTGCATTGAGCAGTGAGACGGATAAGCAATCCCAATTTAGGTGAGAGAAATGACGAAAGAAGAAGAATAGGGAAGACATGCAAGAGGAACTACCTAGATACACAATGACCTGCTAGACAGGGTGATGGACAGTACAGACTACAAAGCGCTTCGCCAGGAGTTTGCTGCACGCCAGCCTTTTTTTGTGATTTGCCAGGATATATGCATTTCTTCACCTATACTACGATGTTTCGTAAAATCCGTTGAGTCTCGTGCGGCGGGCACTGTACTGGCCTCCGGCGAATGACCAACGGGCGCGTTATACAGGATCACCCAGAATGCAGTCGCGACGATTCCAGGCTTGATGGCGAGGGTGTGGAGGTTTACGAGTGCGCTTAACGTAGCCGGTGTTGGTTGCCGTCGGGCGAGAGTGATGATGCAAGGAGGTTTGACGTTGAAAGTTCGCGTCGCGACATTCGGGGCACTAGTCCAAATCTGGCTGGTAGTCCCTTCCCAAAACAACTCTCCGACCTTGCCCAGGTGACGTCTCGAGAATACAGTCGAGAATTACGGCCCTGGGTACAGTGACTGCACTGATAGCATTGCCTATTCTGTTAGTCGGTGTACCCTCCGTCCGATCGGTCCCTGGCAGCGTGGAAGGCGTTAGGTCCCCCGAGCGCACTGCACTTTGGCTGTGGTGTGATTGGGCGCTGCAGTCTGGTATTACACATGTCGGAAAGAGGTTAAGTACTGATAGTGCTTATCTATCATACGCTCATGTTACCTATAGACATTGTTTGTTCACCTTTTGTTCCTCCTACAACATCTGCACATATCATTAGCGCCATGCGATTGACCCTGTACGCGAGGACGACATGATAACTACGTACGACGCTATCACTGCGCTTCCAGACCGTGTTGAACTCTTCATAGGAAATCTTCTCATGCTAAGAGCTGAGTGGGGCTGAGTTGTGGGATAGTTACCTAGTGAAAGACGAACATGTGGGTAACGCTCGAGCCGTGCAGGTACTTGAACCGGAAGTCAGAGTTCTCGAGTGCCTTATTTACTATACACACGGGTTAAACCGAACCCCAAGTATGCAGGCTCTGGCGATCGTCTGTCTCCTGGCGCTGATAGCTCTCGTGCAGAGCCTGACTCCGGTTCCTCCGCTTCTCCAAGGACCCGATATTCCTTCCCGCCCCTCCCGCAGCCTCGTCGCTCGCGTTGACGATATCGAGGTCACATACCACAAAGCCACATGCAAAGGCCAAAAGCTGCTGTCAGCAACAACCTCTCCGCATGACGCAGCAGCCGCCTTTGTCAACCCGATCGATAGCCCCTGGACCAACCCCATCCAACAGGAGCTTGAATCTTGGGGCTACAAAATCGAGAGTGACGATGGCACCCCCCAATTCCGCGCAAGTCATGGGGATGAGTGCGAGTTCGAGCACAGTCACAAGCTCAAGAGCATGTTCGATGACCTCAGGATCGATACGCGTGGTATCTACCAGGGTGGACCTAATCGGTGTTACTTTATTAACCATAAGGACGGTCCGGCAGTACGGCGCGATAATCAGGGAGATCTACCACCCGTCAAGCAGCAGTGGTATAAAACCAACGACCAACACTATCGTGTAGGTAAAAGAAGATGACGGACCATCCATATTTTACTGACGACATCTTCTCCCCGTAGGTCACCAACGCCGAGTTCGTAATCGGCGTAAACCCAGCATCAGGTCTCATTGCAATGACCAATCGTCAGAGCCCCGCCACGAGCGCGCAAGCCCTCTGGGGCCTCTCCAGCCCTCCGCCAAACGATGAGCTTCCCGCACTGAAATCGAGCTCTGATATCATGTGGGGACTGTGGAACTTGGCGAGTGCGAACAACCTGCGCGGCATCAAGTATATCCTTAGTACGCCTGTTATAAACGACGAGACGGTCGCGATAATCAAGAAGATCTTAACAGACAACTGCCTCGACTTGGATGAGCTGATGACCTGGCCAGGCTGCGAGTTTGGGTCGGATGAGCCGGAATATCTCGCTTTGCTCGGTAAGTCGTATATCGGTTCAACGTTCTGGGGATTGGATTGCTGACTTCGACTGTGAACTAAGGATCACCAAACGGGCAAGCAGTTGGGTACTTCCTGGCGCAGCACAAAGCTCAGCTCGGCGGAAAATATGTGTCGAAAATCAATATCTTTAAAGGAGATGATCCACATATGGTTGCCGTTTGTCTCCTTTTCACGATCGACGACAGGGCTGGAGCTGCGAGGGCCGCTATTGGGGGTGAGTCAAATGGCACCGGTCGCGTTGACGAGGCGGTAGTCGTGAAGCGAGTTGACTACGAGAAGAATTTTGTGAGACGGCATGTTGTGTGGGCCAAGTTGTAGACGGCTAGAGACGCGTCAAGATGGCGTGTTTCGATGTACCGCTACGGCTTAGATGGTAGAATCTGTCTTCAAGAGGTTATATAGAGCTAATCAGAGGTGTAGACTCGTTGGTTAAACCGATTTCTATAGTTAATAGAAGGGTTTGCAGAATCGTTACGATGAATTACTCTCCTGATGTATCTCAGTGATGGTGTTGGTGAACAAGAAGCGTGGACGCGGATCGCAACCTCGGCAATCGCGCCGCTTATCGATAAGGCACGATTGCGAAGCTTCAGGGTCGACATCGTCATCTCTCCCTCATTCCATCCTCACAATGTCTGCAAACGTCCTCATCGTTGGTGCCGGCGCCATTGGAGCCTTCTATGCCTCTCGTATTGCCCTCGTCCCCGGTACCTCCGTCTCGGTCATCTGCCGCTCCAACTACAAAGCCGTGAAAGCGAACGGCTTCCAAGTTACCTCACCGCAATACGGCGATTACACCTTCGTACCGGCCAACACCTTCGCGAACCCAGACGAAGCAAGAGCGAGCGGCATACAATGGGACTTCATAGTAGTCAGCACGAAAGCGTTACCCGACGTGAGCGATGACTCGACGATACTTGAGGGTCTAGTCGGCGATAAGACGGCCATTGTGCTGATACAGAATGGTCTGGGCGTAGAAGAACCGTACGCGAAGCGATTTCCACAAGCTGCGATATGTTCGGCGGTCACGATAGCAACCTGCGCGCAACCCGAGCACGGCCAGATTAAGCACAACAGATGGACGCGGATAAACAGCGGACCGTACCTGCCCCATCTAGACACCGGGAGCAGGAAAGATAGCGACGTACGCGTCATCTTGATGAACGACGCGTTCGTCGAGATGCTGAGACAAGGAGGCATCAAAGACGCCGAAGCCTATAGCCATGCCAAACTGCAACTCGTCCGCTGGCACAAGATCGCCATCAACGCCTCCATGAACCCAACCTCGGTCCTCACCCTTTGCCTCCCGAACAACGTTATGTCTCTCGACCCAGAACTGCAGCGCCATCTCAAAGGTGTCATGACCGAGATCCTTGAGACCGCACCCAAGATCCTCGGCGAGCCCATGCCCAAGGAGTTTGCGACCCCCGATCAGATCATTCGGTCTACACAAAAGAACACGAGCGGCAGCAAGCCGAGCATGGCTATCGACTGGGAAGCGGGCAAGAAGATGGAGATTGAGGTCATTCTTGGCAATCCATTGAGGATTGCGCGGGACAGGGGCTATGAGATGCCGCGCCTGCAGAGTTTGTATGCGATGGTCAGGATGGCGCAAGAGGTCAGAGACCAGAAGAAGGACAACAAGTTGTGAGAGCTTAGATTGTTCCCGTCGATTGATCTCTTGATTGCTTCCTTTGTGTGCGGTCTGTCTCATCTGGGTAAAGCGGGCTCCATCTCAAACTGCAAACTTCATATCGACAGGGCCGCAGGCAACCTTTTTATTCGGCCGTACTGATATATGCTTCCTCCTGACATGACCCTTACACGTTTGCAAGAAAGATGATATATAGCAGAAGATTGCTCGAGACTCTGCTCGCCACCCTGGTGCCAATGCTCCAAAGAGATCCGTGCCTTCATAAGAGGTGGTTGGGAAGTGAAGGTGAACGCAACGACTTCGAGATCTGCCACCATCACCAGAAGTACGGCTCAATTTTCCAGCTGACCCATTTGACTATTCCTTGTTATTATTCTTTGTTATTGAGCGATATTACTACATTTGAAGAAGCCGATAGTGGTGCGGGAGGAGGGCAGCTCAACCTCAACTCGTGGACGTTGCGTCCCTATTGAGCGACGCAGGACCGTGGTTATCACAATAGCAAAACACGGAAGGTGAAGGCGCCTCCCACCGACCTCTTCTTTTGCGAGCCGACTACAATAGCTTTGATCAGCTGCCTGTCGCCCCGATCTCTCCTTCGTATCCTCCACGGCCTTTCTTTCTCATCCACCGATTACAACTTCCCCCATATCATCAACTTTCCCACCTGCATATGATCCATCGTTACTACCGCAACCAAGATGAGCAGGCTCTCTGATCAGCAGTTGCGAGCACAGTGGCTCAGCAAGGCGAGCCCTGACCAGCGACAACAGTGGTTTAACAAGGCGCCACCAGACCAGCAACAATGGTTCCGCCAAATACAGCGTGCTAGACAGCAACAAGGACAGCAGCAGCAAGTACAGCGCGAGAGCAGTCAACACCGAGAGAATGCGGCCCGGAGCCCTTCTATCAACAACCTGAACGGAGTAAGGTCGTCTACCTCAAGCCCACTCGCTGCACCCTCAACGATGGCCACCTCGGTGACTATCGCTTCGCCTCTGAGCACGACAGCAGTGCGAACATCCACGAATGCATCCTCACCTACGCGAAACGAAGATACAGCGACGCTGGGCGCCGTCTCCCCTATTTCTATTGAGCCACGCTCGATGCAAGCACCGAACGCTAGCGGAATTCGACATCATCAACAGAGCAACGCTTTTCTCGCTTCTAGGCAGACTCAGCCGCGCATGCTACCCACGGACGACGTCGCTCGCTACCAGAAATCACCACCCAGACAGAGCCCTTCGCATGTACAAATGAAGCTGCCACCCTCATCGACACGGCCAGGTTCATCGCCATCCGCGCACGCGGCAGCATATCCCACCATGAACCAAAAGCGTCAAGCCACAGACGCTCCGGAAAGCGACATGCATGCAGGCAAGAGACAAAACACGATGCAAAATGCGATGTCACCTCCTGCCGCGCCGTTCGCTCCCATCGGTCAGACCAACGATCCTCTCAACCCAGGGCCATACAGTCGTATGAGACCGGTTGCATCAGCCAATGGGATTGCGGCATCTGTCAACCGGATGACCCCCGACGACATCGCCCGAGACCGTCGCCTCCAGCAGGCCAAGCTCGCAGAGCAGCGCGTTCGGGCGCAACAGGCTCACGACGCCGAGAAAGCCCGCGAGCGAGAGATCTATATTGCCGCCACCGCCGCAGCTCTCAAGCGTGAGCAAGACGACGCGCGAAGGGAGTTTCTGCGCAAGGACCCCAGTGCCAACTACCGTCACATCCTTGAGGTATACGCATTGTCACCGCTAGACCCCAAGAAAGACGAGTACCCGAACCGGTACCTGACTGGCTTACTCGCGAACCGCGTCATGCCCATGGACCTCGAATGCGACCTTGCGCTTGCGATTGTGTATGCGAAGGATCACTGGGACTACTTTGGACAGTGGCCCAAGGACATCGAGCGCTTTGCTGGCTATGAAAGGGAGAGGAAGGAGAAAGCGGCAAAGGATCGGGCTTAGGAGACCGAGAGGGCGCCGCGTGAGTGTTCTGGACCTGATCGTGCGAGCTCAGAGGCATTGGAAGCCTTGGAAAAACGCTTGCGTCCGATGCTTTTGAAGTTTTTGAAGTATACGGTATAGCGTGAAGTGATGGAAGTAACTTGGAGAGAGACATGTAGCCGTCAGGGTGTACTCAACTTCTGAAAAGATCAGTTCACGAACACGACCAAGGTTCACAATCCGAGCTCCTCGTGACTGCGTCCGTGCGATAAATAAAGTGAATACCACAGACAATTGGGACTAGTCTCGCAAATCACGGGGTCTGACATTATTCTCCCGTACCTACCACCGCCGGGGCCACTTCTCACATCAAGAGCTCACACACCCACCGTCTGCACTTTCGATCGAGAACCATCGTTCAATTACCAGCAGACTCTTGCCATCACCGTCCTCCCCGACAAGATGGCCGACCAGCTCACCCAGATACCCGCCTTGGTTACTCCTACACTTCAGCGTCACAATAAGAGACGCCGTTCGACATCGATTGCACCAGAGCAAGCTGTTTTCCTTCCTGGCGCCGGCTCATCGAACGATGAGAACAATCCGACAACCACTCCACACAGACAGCGCCGCCCCGAAGACACCACTATACATAAGCGCACGAGGAAAGCCCGTGGGGTCAAGCGCCGACGTATTGCTGGCGACTTCAATCCCGTCCACGGCCCTGGTTCCCCCCGTTCCTCCGACCTGAAAGAGGTGCGATCACAGATTGCGCCGACTGCAAACCCATCAAGCATTGATCCCGTCTCAGGTGGAGATCATCCCCACAAAGACATCACCGCCCTCCCCGTCGACGACACGCCATCTCAACCCAAGTACATTACCGATACTATAAAGCAGACATTAGGTCGAGACAGCAAGAAGAAGTTCAAAGTCTGGGAAGACGAGCCGCAGCCGTCTCAGCCCAAAGACCCAACACCAGCCGCCTCAAAGTTGCTGCAAGATATCACCAATACCGGAGCTCAACGCAGGTGTCGCCGTGTAGAGGGGTATACGCCGCGGTTCCGCGCGCAAGAGGCTGATTACTACTACCATCCCAATCTCAAGGACTTCCACTTTCCACAGGGCGTCGTCGCATCCACTGAGGAGGCTGTCGAAGAAGCGGTTCAGAGTGAGCTTGACGCGTCCACTGCCGGAGCGACACAGAGTATCAAAGATGCTCAGCCAGATGCTACACAGTCATTGAAGCGGAAAGCCGATGACGATCTTCGAGAGCGCGGTGCAGAGAAGCTGAGGAAGCTCAATGATCAACAGCCTTTGCCTTGGATAGTCCATGGCAAGATCCGACATGATCCAGTTCAAGACTTTGAGACTGAGTACTTTGCGATATCTACACCGTGGCTACCCTCAGAGCCGGTGGAAGATGTGTTCAACACGGCTGAACCGGATCAACCCCAGAACGACATAGATGCAGCGCTTGAGACGATTGAAGCGCAGCAGTTGCCAACACCCATCTCCGAGCCCGTATCCAACGAGGTATTGTCGCCTCCTATATACTACAACCTGAACCCATCCAGCATAGTCCATGTACCGGGGAGCGATGAGCCAGCTCTGGACAAACTGGGGTCAGGATCTCTGGACTTGAATGCTATCTTGATGGGAATGACACGAAACGATGCATTACCCACCGCTCAGGAAGATGCTCTTAAAGGATTCGGTACCTACAAACCACCAACGCCGCAAGATGGTGACATCCCCGCCGGCAACAAAGCTGCATTCGATGGATTTGGTACTCACCAACCACCGCCACAAGTCGTTGCTGCTACATCTCCCGCGGTCGAGAAAGACGCATTTAAAGGGTTCGGTACCTACAAATCACCGCCACCAGAAGGCAACGAGTTCCCCGCCGTCAACAAAGATGCATTCGAGGGATTTGGTAATTACCAACCACCGCCACAAATCGTTGCTGCCGCATCTCAGCCCGCTCCAAAGATTGTGACCACAGTTCCCTCTCTGATAGGCAGGAACCATCACGCCATCATCAAAAGGGGTGTAGCCTACAGCGAAGGCTATGACCCAGGAAATCCACAGAACTTCAAGCACTACCTCGCTCAGTTCACCGATCGACCTGCGGTTCCGCGACCACGAGAGCGCGAGTATCGTCCAATGCCAGAGATGTTGGAAATCGAGACTTTAAACCAGCGATTAGACTGGGTAGTCCCGAATGGAGCAGAAGCTCCCCAACTTTTCCGGGAAATGACAGCACCACCACCTCACATCGACTCAGAGTTAGCTCGTTGTGTTCGCTTCGCCCAGTCCGACGCGCAAAGACGCGTAAACTGGCGAGCTCATCCCACCCATGTCGCCGAAATCATCCAGCGCACCAACTTCTACGGAATGGAGTTGCTAGTCAGCCGGAGCGAAATGCGCATCTCGTCAACCCCGACAGCAGATGAGTTCGAGCTAGCCATGGCGACTCGGCTGGCGCATATATCCTTCGGCATGGACACGAAGGACTACATTGCGGCCGATGTGCCAGCTATCATGGAGTACTTCATGGAGAATATTCCATCGGCGATAAGCGTCTTCCCAACAGAAGAGGAAGACTGCTTCCGTGCCTTCACGGATTATTATCGCGTGATGTTCGAGGAGAGCTATCCACCACTGAGCGCTCTCGGCTTGCCAGAATGGCAGGTCTTACTAGATGCGGAGGAGGGCAAACCCTCTCTCAAAGCACAAACCCTACAAGGCATCGTCCAGTCCATCAAAAGACTGGCTTCACAGTGCCCTGGCGATACAGACGGGGCAAGTATCCTAAAATATGGGGTATCTCACGAGAATCGCGACACTGGAAACGAGCACCTCAATAACGCTCGTCTGGAACTTGGCCAGACCCTTGGCGTGGGTAGGGACAGCTTCGACAAAAACCCACAGTGGCCCGATCACCTACCCAACGCCTCTTTCCCGAGCGTGGCTCAGAGCGAGCAATCGCAGCATTACGATGCAAATCAAGCCTTTTACTGGAACAATACAGAAGTCCTAGGAGAATATGTCCATCCTTTTGCACCCGAAGCAAATGCAAGGGTTGAAGATGTGCACGGCGATTACTACGGCCCAGAGGGCTGGTCTCCCAACGATCCGAATGCGCTGATGCCATGGCATTCTGGGCTGGATGCCATACCATCAGACTTCAGCGCAGCGCCATTAGACTATGGTGCTATGGAGGAATACTTCAATCCGTCGGCATTCGGCGCGTTCAACGACGCTGAGCCGGAAACATTGTTGTAAGGATAGTAGGCCCGAATGGGTCTAATCGAGGATTTGAGGATTGTTCAACGGTCTTTGTGCCGTATTCCATGGTGTGGCAGTGGTTGTGACTCTTGTTCGATGAGAGCTTCTCGCCTTCAAACACGGACACTGTGAGTGGCTCGCGGTCGCTAGCGCCGAGGGAGGATTGAAGCAGGCACCAAGCGTACCTAGGTAGCTACAATTTGTGTTGTATGATGCAAGCATACTATTGGATGTTTGCGTTAGCTATAAGAATACATCGTTACCACTCATCAAACTTTAGTGATGTGCGTGCAGCAGCTTGCGACACAGATTATAGCTACCTGTACTGCAAGTGTCAGCGCAAGCATAATCGAAACAGGGGCGATGAAAGCGCCTGCAGAAGAAGTGGTGGCTGAGGAAAGCTCGAAGGCCGCTTCCATCAGATCCTGTGCATTGCGACGGACGGCATTGGTCCTTCTTGTTGGTGTAGTGTCGGCCATGGTGCCACAACACGCGTACCATGGATGGGCTTCAGCCTCAGCGACTTCCACAGACTCATCGAACGAAGACAAACCAGAGTTCCAGCGGAAGCTAATACTAGCACAATGGAAAATCATTTATCTTCATGTAGATTATCGGACAGTACGATATTCTCCTTCCTTCCCATCTACCTTCCTTCCAAGCGCGCATTGAAGCCACCTTACCATGACTCCGCCACGTACAGCGACAGCACCACATATCGAAACCGGTACCAAACCGGCCCCGGCAAAGAACCCACGTGGTCGACCACGCAAAGATGGGCTCCCGGCAGGATCAGTACCCAAAAAGCCCAAAACGTCAGGACGAGCGCGTGCAGATACTCCGACGGAAATCCAAGGACAGCCTGAGAAACGAGGCCCCGGGCGTCCACCCAAGAAGGACAAATCGCAGGGCGCCCAAAATCCATCAGCGACGTCATCGTCGTCTGATCCCTCTCAACCAATGAACCCCATTCCAAGCCGTGGCCCACAGGAGGGAAGTCTCATCGTCTCTGCGGCTGAAGAGACTTCCAATATACAGATCACGGTTACCCTTCCGAGTGACGTAACTGCACGACACAGTGAGGAAACGGACATAAGTGAACAAAGGATTCAAGATACTCTGACCTTTTGGGAGGAGGCCGAAAGAAACGAGGAAATAGGTGCGGCGGCCAGTCAATGCGAAAAGCAGAGGGAAGACGACGCATTGGAATTCGAATTTGGCCTGTTCAGAAACAATCATGGGCAGGACTTGGAGCCAAGTCGCAAGCACGTAGCATTCGCGGACGAAGAGGACGAAGAAGCCGAACAAGAAATCGGAACAGAAGAGTCGAAAAGAAAAGCGGAACGTCGACGTCAGAGGAGAGAATGTCGAGATTACGGCTGCTATGAAGAGGATTGCAGAATCGGCCATGCAGTCAGAGCGAATGTCGCGCGCTACATGGTGAATCTTGACGAGCGCACGGAGGCGTTGCGGCCCATGGTGGTAAAGACGGATGATGAGGTGATGGAAGAAGGGACAAGGCCTATGATTTTCGATTATCCCTGGTTAATTGCACGATGATAACAGAAACGCCGGAGGAGCTGTGTTCCCTTCTGGTATCGTCAATCTAATAGGTTTAAGGGCCTTAAGAGGTATGCAGATAATATGAGCTTGACTCTTTCGCGCGTACTGATATGAGAAGAGATCTAGCAACACTCTATACAGCACGAGTAGACTGATTGTATCCCGTAGTTAGCATCGTACCTTGGCCCATTCTCAGAAGTTGGCGTGATGTTGAAGGTGCATGTGAGAGCTCCTATCTTGTGGGTATCGCTGGGCTGTATGCGCAGAGTGTCGACGTCGCAAGAATGTTAGATGCGTATGACCAACAAGACGCAGCGGTTGGAAAAAGATGTGAGCATATACGTGTCGCGATGCGCGTTGATGAAGACGATTTCGACCCCGAAGGTGGCACCTGGCTCCGAGGGCAGAATTCGCTACTGCTTACGCTAAGCCATATGCGGAGAGGTCATGATTAGAACTTGGAGTTTACAAAGTGCGGAATCTCTGTTATTCCTTATGTAAGACTATTGTCACGAAAAGATCACTTCAAAATTGAAACTTCCCATGCCTCAAGTCCACTGTTGGGGAATATGAGATGTGTCTCACGTGATGAGGAGCCACCAAGCAGCCCCACATCGGCAAATTGTGTCGTCTAATCTCCGACGGCAAGCTTCAACGCGTCAACGCGTCTCTTTCACACACGAAACTCAAGCACGATACGTTCGAGCAGTCCAAGGACGCGTATCTAGAACTACCCATACGATTTGTAAAGCTATCATTAACGCGTCTCAACAGTGTCAACGTGTCTTTTACAGGGGTTTGCTACCAATGCTCCTGGTATCATCGCCACCGCACCTACTACAGAAGTTCCCTCGAAGCCTCAGCGACATCCTCAGATGAATTTAAGATTAAGCCCACCACGGGTTTACTCAAGGCCTTCGCTTAGGCTATGGTAGTGTTTGTACAAAAAAGAAGACCTGAAAGAGCATGGAGTTAAGTGTCGAGATTCGCGCAAAACTTTACGTCTACTTCTAATCTTGTGAAAGGGGTGTTGTCGCGCGGCATCGCTTGACCGGTCTATGGTGTTTCCATCAATGTGTATGGAAACATGTACCGCAAGCATGAGGAAAGCTAGCGGTGTGGAGACAGAGAGGGACTGCTCATGAGTACACCAAGTGCGCAAACTCTTTCCACTCTCTATGTATGTGGTATCGTCGGCAAGTACCTTCAACTACAAAGGTCCAGCGCAAAACCTGGCGCCTCGAGTCCGAGGACTTTGGATGCAACGATATACTTTCCATTCTATCTAGTCTTCGGCCGCGTACCGAGTTGCTCTGGCCAACCTAGTGCGTCCGCGACCGGCCTCCGCCAGGTATGGATGTATCAGCGATACTCAACATCGAAAGTGAGAGATAGTGAAGAGACGTCAGGGTTCTCTGTCATTCGTTAACCCTGATTCGATACCGATGTCGCCATCGCTCCCTGAGCAAATATTCTATTCCCCTGACGTCACCTAACGGTATTATCGAGGGTCACAAGTCCTCATACCGCCTTGGATGCATGTTTCCGGAGTAACACAGGCAGGACCGAGTCACCTACCTACCGCAGTTGGCTAAATGAGCCATTTTCGGCCCTCACGTGGCTATGTACAATTCGGCGAACGCGGGGATTGTTTCAAACTCACCACCAAGATCCTTGATCGCGAGGTTCGAATGGGTCCAGCTTCGTCAGTGCGGCCTTTCGTGCTCACGTTCTACAGAGCCTTACGTCCGAAGCGCTAGCACATCATTCAAGCAATAACTAGATTCCATCTTGGTTCAGCTTTGAGCTAGACCGTGTCTCATACATCTACTACATTTGTAAACAAAGACTTCTGCGTCCGCTACTATCGAAGGAATCCCGATATATACTTCCGTTGGCGACACTTGCATCTGTCAACTCCCTCCTACATTAGCCAATCTGTTGACTTGACCGTCGACTCTATATACAAACCAATTTGGAGACTCGCGACGAGTAAGTTCCATACCCAGCAATAAAAGCAATCCAAGCGCCGCTCAAGCCTTTACCTGATTGCTACAATGTTTCCTCTACCAAACACTAATCCTTGTATCAAAGGCATCATGGCGAGCAATCCGAAGACTCCTTCAGCCAACTCATCTCCGGTCAAAGGGGCTAGGGTTGAGAAACCAGCCGCCATGAGCAAAGCACGTTCGAAGAACAAGGACGGCTCGATCCACGCCTCCCCAACTGACATCTTCGGTCCAAACGCTGTTACCCGGTATCTCCGCATCCCGCAAACCGGCAACATCACCGGTGCGGAACTGATGACGTTTCTTCCCGCGCTGATTCGTAGCCCCGGCGTCCTTGTTCGATTCGTCCAGGACGGTGGCGATGCCTACCCCCTCGTTAGGATCCACAAATGGTTTCGAGTCGTGGTGAAGAACAATTCTCGGCAAGACGCCACCAATGCCGTGATTCACTTGGCCCAGGGGACGATGCGACACTATCTTCAGGACGATCAATGGACTATGACTCGTCACAAGGCCGGTCTTTACCCAAAAGTCGGCCAGGCTTGGGACCACGATAACTTGACTCTTGCCGGCGTCCAAAACCACTGCGAGATCCAAGTCCCGGGTAGCCGTCACCATAAACCGGTCGTCGCTAATGTTCATTTCGCGTCACTTGCAGCTGACGTTAGGGTATACCCATCCGGCGACGACGAGCTCGATCTGACCCGCTGTGTCAAGGCCGCTGTCGCCAATATCGACCTACCGCTGATGTTTCCACGAGACTTTAACTGGCTGACTCAGCTCTTGGGTGGTCCCCGGACAGTACTCCCTGCTCATCGAGATGGTGCGCTGTTCGGTCGTTGGAGGACGGTGGTGTGGGAGGACATGCCCGAGCCGGAGGCGATCCAGGCTGCGACAAACCTCACGCATCACATATTCACAGCAGCACAGCGGACGGCAACCGCGCAGTATCTTCAGCAGTTTCCCGTTGTCCAGGCTTTTACGTTTGTTCAACCGCCTCCTTCTGTCCAGCCGTCCGTCCCCGCGCCTCGCGACCCTGTGAGGATGACAAACCACGCTGGCTCTTCTCGCGCACAAGCTCCTGCTGTAGCCAGCGGTCTTTCATCTATTAACTCGTTGATCCTTAGTCGGATCATGAACAACACTGCTGCCGACTTGTCACATGTCCTAGCTACGATACAAGAGGATCAGTTATACGCGTTGTATGTCAGCGTCTTGGCCGCTAACGGTATCGTGCCTATTAGCCGCCGCGCGGAGCAGACACCTGGTCCGGACGCTCTAGACAGCTCCCTCGCAGGTGATCGTAGTCTTCTCGATCTTATCGAACCAACCGCACACGACGCCAGGGCTGTATCTCCATCTGGCCCTTGGGACGAAAACATGGTCGATAATGACAACGACTCTCACGTCCCAAATCCATCCGAGGAACAGCTTGACGACGACACTAGCTCATTTGCGTCCCTCGATCTTAGTATGATCGATCCTGCGATCTTGGACAGCATTGATCCTGAGATCCTGGACAGCATCGACCGTGAGCTCGGCGGCTTCACCGACCTGGAACACGATACGGAGCCTCCACAAGTCGACCCGGAAGATCACGACCTCGGTTTGCAAGACGATCATGCCCATGATGGAAGTGTCCAGGAGACTTTAATCCCTTCCATCGTGGTCCACGACGTCGACGGCAGCACTGCCGAACACCCCGCTGATGATGCTTCCTCTCGTGAAGCTTAGCGCGGTCAGAGAAGACGACAACACAGTTCCTTTAAAAGGTTGGTGCGTATTGGACAGTTGTCAATCGGAAATGGAGCTCTTTTCGAGCGCGGTGTTGGAAGAGACCAGCGAGCATGGCATGGAATTTCTGAGAAAGCTTCTTCGAGGAGTTGGGCGTCTTGTAGATTCTTCGCACTATACCCCGTCCGTTTAGTCTTTTGCTTTGAGTAGACCCAAATCTCTATCATTGAATCGTGATACCGTTCACAAGCGCGCCTTGGCGTGTAAGCCTCATCCGCCATTGATATGCAACGTGGGTATCAACAGCAACCAGATTAACACGTAACATAGTGCTGAGCTGCGAGAATTTATCATTATCGATCCTTTATATCTAGTTCCATGCCCTTTGTGGTATTATCGTACAAAATAGCCACGATCTTCAGAAAACTGAGAAAGAAATCCAGGAGTCAAGACAACCAAGGCGCAACTCAGAAGTATTCTCAGAGCCAAGCCCAACGCCCAAACAGCTCACATACCATCCCTGATAACCTCCTCACTGACCCAACCAATCTCATACCTATGCGCAGCGATACACTCAAGATGCCAGTCATACTCCGTCCAAACACTACCAAACAAGTCAAACTGCTGCTTAGCCCAACGTATATTCTCAGCCCAGTCACTAGTGTCCTTCGGATGAGGCTGGCTCAGCAGGTGAAGCTCGCGGAACGGGGCGTGGCGGCGAGGGCCGTTGAAGCGGGCGTAATCGTAGGCGGACGCGTACATCTCGGGGAACGAAGTGTGTGGAGGGGACGCGTAGAGGTAGATGCTGTAGTCGTCGATGCGGAGGCGATCCTCTGAGAGGAAGGGAGCAGGGAAGAAAACGGGCTCGCGCTTGAGGTACTCGCGGGCGGCGTCCATGACTTCTGGAGTGAACTCGGTCATCATGTACGAGGGTACCTTTGCCTGCTGTCGGACTTTCTGGGGTGACGGTCCGATTCTGGTACATGGTCAGCTCGAAATATAACATCAGAAGCGTAGAATGAACTTACCCAGGGACTTTGAGCTTCAGAGCCCGGCGCTCAGGCACAAAAGCAGCCTTAATGCTCAAGCGAGCCTTGCGCGCCGCTTGACGGCCGCGAGCTGCGGGGATGGGCGAAACGGCCTCCTCGGGCTCACTTGCGTCTTCTTCCGGAATGTCATCGTCAGGCTCGGATTCGTCCTCTACAAACTCGTCATCGTCGGCGGACGAGTTGGGGGTCGGCGGAAGACGAGACAGCTTGCGCTTCTTGGAGGGAGTGGCGTAGGGCGAATCGATGTAGTCTTTGTCCTGAAGCCAGTGTCAGCAATGTCGCCATTCAAGACGCCGTAGAATCGACCATCGTCGAACAGCGATGATAGAATTACCTCGGCGTCAACTTCAGTCTCTTCGGCGAAGTTCATTTGCTTGCCGACAAGCCTGCCGCTTCTCCTCTTACTACCATCCAACACCTTCCCAAGGCCCTCAGCTGTACGCTTCTGTGGTGTCGCGGACCGTGACATGGCGACCAGCTCGATGTCGTCGAAGAGTTTCTTCTTGCTACCGCGCGATGCTTTGAGCTTGTTGTTGAGCTTGGATGATTTGGGAGTCTTGGGCGTTCTCGGAGCGCGGCCTTTACCGGGTGTAGACTTGGCGGGTGAAAAGGCGTAGTTGCTGTGACGTGCGAACACCTGCCTATCGTAGTGACTGTGAGTGACTGTGGCCGGCCCTCCGAGGTGAGTGATGAAGCGTTGAAAGTCGGTGGGGAAAAGCCACGATTCTTCCTCGTGCTCAATAGCGTATTGCACACAGCGAGTGAGGTCCAGTGCGTCATCGCCACACGGGTGCTCTTTCACATGGAGTGCAAGGTCTTTGAACTCCAGCGGCGAGGAATCCTTGTTGACCTTATCCCTTCCAGGTGTACCAGTCCTCACGTCCTTAGGGTGAGTCCGGTTGGGTGTACGGAAACCGTGGACGTTGAGGTTGTCTTCAGGTCTCGGAATTCCAATGTTATATTCCAAATGCATACCGAATTTCCAATCGTCGTAGCCGGCACGTCGCATGGCGTACTGGATCATGACCATGGCGGAATTCGGTGGAAAATCCTGATCCAGCGGCTGGTCTCTGAACTCGTTGATCATAGCAGCGAGATGGCCAGCTTTCGCGCCGTGCGTCACGAAACGGTCGATAACATCGATGGATTTGAGCCAGTGCGGGAGGTAGGCCAGGATCTCGGCGGCGGTCAGATTGCCGTTTGGGAAGGGGAGGTTCCAGCTTGGGCTGTGGTAGCCGAAAGCGTTGTTCTTAGCAATGGCCGCCATGTTGACTGATCTGATGTTCCAGACGAGATAAGCAGAGGCACAGGCAAACTTGGAAGGTTACCTTCTGCAGAAGCTGCGAAAGGGTGGCCGGATGCGCGGAGGACGGCTTACTGGAAAGTGAAAGTGTGAGCGTCTTCAAGGACGATACGAAGCCTCGTTGCGCTTTGTCTTGAGTGATCGATGCGTGGTGTCTCCACTGGCTGCGAAAGCAGACCCTGCAAACCTTGTCGTGGGCTGAAGCTGGCACTTCGGAGACGCAGGTGACGGCGGAGTCAAGCAAAGTTACTCAAAGGACGCTCGGACCGGGTAGAGCGGCCTTTTCGTTGATATAGCGATAGCCACAACAGAAGCGCGAGGCACACTCTACTAACCACGTGCAGGTTCCCATCACCACTACAAACACCATACATGCACCTCTGACCATGGATCATCCGCCGCGACCGTACTAACTGCCAATTGTCTCACGATAGGCACACTCTCCTAACTTTTCGGCAGATCAACGGCGTCAGCCCCAGGACCGGCTGAGAACGCACCAGAGTCCAAATCGAGAGCACGAAACGAGTACTTCGGCTACGGCTTTGGCCCAGACGCGCCTTCAAGATACCTCCCGTTTCCTGCAACCGCGAAAATTACCGCCGTAGAGCTCCTTGCATTCCTTCCAAACAGCATACACTGCGCTGACGTGGTGTACCGCCTGATCACGAACGGCGCGACTCCGACTCAGGTGTGCGCCATTGTGAACACTTACAGAAAGCTTCCAAAGGAGTGGCCCCAGGCCAGCTGCCGGCAGAGCATCTACAAGACGATGGATCAAGGTGGGTACAAAGACTGGCGGCTCCAGACGCATGGTAGCTTCCACAGAGAGAGAAAGTCGACCTGGGACGATGCCGATCTCAACGTTGCAGGGTTCTCGCCACCTAGTGGAAATGTCGAAATCCCTCCGACAGACATACTCTTCAAGAAGCTAGCCATAGACCTGAGCTGCATGCCGCAGGGCCATGATGCGTTAGATCTGACTCGCATGGTGGAGTATTGCGTGCAGAATCCACATGAGCCGTGGTTCTACCCTCGCGACTACGACAAGGTATTGCAGCTGGTGGGAGGCGCAGCTACTGTTCGAAAAGAACATAGCGATGGCGCTGCTTCCCAACGATGGGCTGGTATAAAGCCTTCTCTTTCTCAAGACGCGTCAACCAGCGCTCCGCTCGTGCCAGTCAAGAAAAAGAAAAACGCTAAGCGAAAGAGAAAGACTGATATAGAAGAAGACTTGCCAGTATCAAGGAGACAGAAAGAAGCAGTCCCTCCACCCAAGGGCGGGACACCAGAGTCAGAAACAGAGCATGAGATGCAAGAGCTGAGAGGAAGGCCGGGAAAGTCTGTATGGTTTGATGATGAGCCTGCCGTTGAGGAATTTGCCGAAGAGGAAGAAGAAGGGATGGAGGACGAGGACATCATGGCCAGCGCCAGCAGAGACCTTGAGAGAACAAGTTATGCCGCGCCTCCAGAAGATTCAGTCGTGCCATGGGAGACAGCGCTTGCAAACGCACAAGATGAGGACGCGATGGACATGGCGTTCTTTTTCGAACGTCAAGCAGGAGAGACTGATGCATACGGCCCATACGCCTTCGGTGGACCCCGTCACAAGCCGCCTTACCGACCGCTGTACCGCATCGACCAACCAGACCCATCTGATGCAAGCGGTTGGGCAGAGAATCCGAGGTGGGCATTCGAACAGAACACGCTTTACCGATACCCTCACCGCCCCGACGCTTGGAACGAAAGCCCAGAGCACATGGAGCTCATCGTGAAGATTCGGATCGACCGGTACTGGATGTCGGATGAGTTTGCGGCGATGACTGACGATTAGCTGCGGAGGGCGATGATTGCCTAGAATTTGGAAGTGCTTGGATTCTGGGTTTTGAGGTTTTGGTCGTTGGCTCGTGGATGGTAATAGCCGTGTTATGTCACGGTGCCCACATCCTGCCAAAGGGCAGCAGCGCACGCAGGCGAGATAGTCGCGCCATTGAACGGTAGCTGATGAGTAAAGTGAACCGAAAGGTCACATATAAAGTAATGGCAATAGCCGTTCGACGGATTTGCTATCGTGGATGCTGTGAGTGAAGATGGAGCGAAGAGGTGAAGTTGGTTCCGGAGTCAGCAAACCTCAGCCTTGGCGTTTCGGCAATGCACGGACTGGCGTCGATCGATGTTCCGACCGAAACCAACTTCGAACACCCTCCAAACTTCCTCACCCCGAAATCGACAGCCATTGTCCCTGTAGTCGCGTGTTTCACGAGAATTTGTCTGGTTCGCGACGCTCCAAGACGCCACAGTGGATCGGAGGCTGAAGATCCGGATGCGCTGACTGTCGCATGAGATGATATACACGATGACAGCTCTTAGGTTGCGAAACAATGGGCGCTCTTCGAGCAAGTGCGTGATGTTGTAAAAGGTATTTAGATTCGATGCATCCTCTAGCGATTCGCCGTTCAAAGCTCTCGCTCTCTACAAAACCTTCAGAAAACTATACCCCAGATCCACGAGCCGGACTCACCTAATACACTCCTTACGAACCGACACGAACGTACTCGACGACCTCAATCTACTACTACACCTTCACACGATCACACACCCCGCCATGCGTTCCTCCATGATCATCGGTGCCGCCGCGGCCTTCGCTCCCACCGCACTCGCACAAAGCTCCTCCACCATAACATCAATGGTCCCGATGATGTCTCCCTCCGCGCCTCCCGTCACAATGGCCTGGGATAACAAGCCCGCCCCGACAGGCGAAGCAGCCCTTTCTTCGGGCGCTTCATCGCTGAACTCTGCCATGAAGTCCGCGATGTCTTCCATGTCTAAGGGAATGTCGATGGAAAGTGGTATGACCATGTCCGACGGTATGGTCATGCAGAGTGGTATGACCATGTCTGATGGCATGGTCATGCCAACAGGAAGTGCTATGGCGGGAATGAGCAACTTCACCGGTAGCGCAGGCAAGATGGAGGTTGGCAGTGGTGGTGTGGCGATGATGGCAGCCATCTTGGCTATGTTGTGATCGGATTGAATATACGTTTAAGGCTTGCTAAAGCATATCACGGAAGCTCAGCTGGTCCAGCATAGCGTCGTCTTCCCCTTCCGGCCGTTCTTCGTTCATGGATACGCTGTCTTCGTCTCATGCGTTACCTCTTTTCGCTAATACATATTGTACATTTACTCTACAATCACTGCATCACATTATACGTTGCCTATACCGAGTGGCCGTCACCAGTAAGAGTGAAGTCTAGCTACTTACCCTTCCACCCAAAGCCTGTACACGACACGTCACTCTATCGACTGTCGACTGAGCAAGCATGTGATCCAGCTCGGTCAAAACGCCGATGCTACGAGAATCAGCTGGCGATCCATACTGTTTGTGGTGCAGATTGGTCTTTGTCCGAGTGATGTGCGATTGCACATACAGCCTATCGTCCAAATAAACCCTCGTATGGCGTACCAGCTGCAACGACTTTACTTCGCTCAATCAATCCAAGGCATGTCACACCAATCTCATGGCGCACATACCACGTGTAGCTGTTCGCTCTGCAAATACTTGCGTCGTGACAAGCACAGTCCCATCAGCAACTTGACGAGATCTGAAGCAGACGAGATGTAAGCACCACTACCGAAATTGTCCACGAGTCATCATGTTCAAGATCCTACTGACCTCGGAAGTACAAAACGGAATCAGGCAGCTTGTCCGTTACTACGTCTTCCGCCAGAGCTGCGTAACCAGATATATGGGTACATATTCACTTGCCACTTCATTGACATCCACATCGCTCGACATCATCTCCTAATTCGAGTTGCTCATCGTCCTCGTCGCGAGTCCCGTCCATATGAGACGTTAGATTGGCTCTCTTCCACATCCATGGTCTGTCGGCAGATACACTATGAAACTGCCTTCTTGCCATTCTTGCTGAGCCCGCTTCATGTCGGCTTCGGAGAACTTGCATCTATCACGGACGCCATGCCTACTAATGTAGTCGCATGTTTCAAGAATCTGTCGGTGTTCAACGATAGATCGCTGAGACGGCTCAAAGAGAGTAACTTTGACAGAAATCTGGAAGCATTGCGCAAATTTCCGAACTGGGAGAAGGTTCTGGTGATAGACTTGAAGAGAGAGATAGAGTGGGAGAGAACGCAAGAACTCAGGAAGAGGATGGCGATATATGTAGATGCCGCGGAAAATTTCGAGACTTCTTAGCCATAGTATCTGAGCGGTGCTCGTCTTAAAGGTAGTGTGGTTGTGCCATTATGGTGTTGTCGCGATATCATTTATCGCGACTGATGACGTCACGCGTAACACCTGTCGGTAGACCTCCACTTAGGTACCGCTTCATCACGAACAACCACCCTCATTATCATCAAGCATCCCCCATTTTCATACGATTATCCTAGCATTGCTTTTCATAGGACCGGAGAAGCACGCAGTCACACCGGTATCGCTCGACACACATTACACCCTCAACAAGGCAATGTCAGACGAGAAGTCGCTGCTAGACCGCGTCTTCGCGGCCAAAACCACCGAAGAGTCGCGCGAACTATACGACGAATGGGCGAAGACTTATGACTCCGACATGACTCTGCACGACTTCACTGCGCCACGTCTCGTCGCACAAGCAGTAGCCCGCGGCCTGAAGCTAAACCACATCTCACCCGACAAGCCTCTCGCTGGCCTAAAGATTGCAGATGCAGGATGCGGCACCGGCCTTGTTGGTATCGAACTCTCCAAACTTGGCGCTACAGATATTCTAGGCCTCGACATCAGCGAAGGCATGCTAGCGGTTGCTAAGAACACCGCCGTGTACGATGACCTTACGACAGTGGACTTGACGAAGAGATTGGAGTTTGAGGACGGGAAGTTTGATGCGCTGACATGCTGTGGTACTTTCACGCATGGTCATCTTGGACCAGAGCCGCTGGAGGAGTTTGTAAGAGTTGTCAAGGATGGTGGAGTTGTTGTTGCAACTGTGCTAGACAGTTTCTGGGTGGAGAAGGGGTTTGAGAAGGAAGTGAAGAGACTGGAGAAGGAGGAGAAGGTTGAGATTGTAGAGACGGACTTGCACCAGTACCGGAAGGGTGCTGGAGGTGGGCGCGTGATAATCCTACGGAAGCTGTGAGCTTGAATGGCATGGCGACGGTGCATGCATCATAGCAAGTGCAAAGACAAAGGGCCTAAGTAAGAGCTTGGTACAACTGTACTCATGCGCAAGGTTGTGTTTCACAGTAGATGCCTTTGGTGGACTACAAGATCTCCGCATACCTCGTCCCACCCTACATAACCTCCCACCCATTCTCCATAGTGTATTTATAACAGGGGATCGCAGAATCAACATCAATCGATGTAACCTGGACTCCCTCTCGAACCTGACTGCTGACCCATTGTCGAACATTCATGAGCGCATCCTCGGTTTCCTTCGAGTCGAGATCCCTGAACCATTTCTCAACTCTCAATCGTAAGACCTCATCTTCCTCCGGAACATGCAATCTATTCCATTCATGGGCGAACAAGAGCCCATCCCCCGAGACTCTAGGAGCCCAAGAATGGACTTCAATCTTTCGTAGATTCGGAAAGCGATTTGGACAGAGAAGGGTTCCTTGCCATCCCGCCAGGCTCGTCCAATTCCGATTCTCATAGATGCGAACGACTGAAATGGCGTTTCGCACGTCGTTGGGCATCTTCCGGACAGCTTCGATTACATTTCTAGGCCGTGCACGAAAAGAATTGAGTTCGAAGATGAGCAGCTTGGTTTCCGCATAGTATTGGCGGCATACTGGAAGAGATCCGAGGAGTGAGGATAGAGACTGTGAAGTTGTACTTGTTTTGCGCACGGGATTGTGGTTGTGAAAATGGCTCCGGCGGTGTTGACTCCCATGGTAATCGATGCAATCCCTGCGAAAGACGTATTCGTAGATCCTATTGCGGAGTTCTGCGGGCAGGCGTAGTAGGGACGATTGAGTTTGGTTACGCAATGTGCTACGCTAATGTCAGTGCTGTTTCGATCCGGAATTCGAGGCATCATATGCTCACATAGCGTCCATTTTGTCAATGAGGTGTCTTGGATGCTCTCTTGGTGTACTACTGATCACCGTTAACTTGCTAATGTGTGCGATCAATCGGCCCTCAACAATGTTTTTGTAGAGAAGAGGCTCTGCTCCAGGCTGACATACATCACAACCAAACAGGGTAGCCCGCTTATCCTATTCGAGCCTAGTACCACTTCTGCCTTCCAGATTCCCCCGGGGCCATTTGAGGTCACTTCATCTAATCGTACAATACTTTTACATGACACATGATACATCAGTCCATCACAATCATTCCACGCAGATAGCCAGCATATCCGAACGGCGTCGGTCGCGCAAATTGTGAAACAGCAAGTCCCAGTCCCAGTCCCGCGCCCGCCACGCTCGTTCCTTGGATTGACGCGCTCGCATCGCGCCAACGACCAGTTCCAACAAAGCATTCGCCTTCCCAGTCGTATTCGTATCGCTCAGACACATCATGCTCTGGGAAACATTCTGGCACATGCCCGCATACACGCGCAAAGAAGTCGACCAGGTCTTCGCTCCTGCCTTTGTTGAAGTACAGTCGTCCTCCGATGATTGGCCAGGCCGCTGAGAACCGAGCTTTGGATATTGAACCACACGCCAGCCATTCTGAAGGGCGAATGTATATGGGGTCGACACCGAGCATTGGTCCAAGATCAGCCATGCATAACCACCGGTCTTCGCGACCTTTTGTGCCTTGCCATGAAGGTATCAGAGCACTGTGATTGCCGGTTGGGCTTACGACATCGGTCACCAGGCCTGAAGCCTGGATCTGGACTATCTGGATAGCTTCATGACCTCGGATACAGAGGTCATACGTTTCACGTAACGCCGCAGCTGTTACCAGTCAGCACGTAAGTCCTACAGTAAGACGACAAAGATTACCGAAGTCGCTAAAGACCGTTATGAAAGGACCAGCTTGTGAGTCGAGAAGACGAAGGTGTTCTTCTATGCAATCCAGACTCAGATGAGCATACGAAAAGTCACACCTGGACTGGAACAAACTTGCGCCGACTGAGAATCTGGGCTGATAAGTCGTCGCACTGTGCTCACTGAAGACGCGATAGAAGTAGGGACCCTCAAAGGCGTCGATGAGTTCGTCTTGAGGCAAGTCGCTGCTGATTGGCCAGTCAAAATCTAGCCGCATCATCGATCGTCATCCACGTACCTTAACATCGTTTCATCACGATCCATTTCAAAACTTTTCAACACCCTCCGTCATCTTCATTCCCGAGCAGCACAGCCCTTGGTGAATGTTTTGAAGCCGTTGCATGGCCTGCCGTCGTGTAGGGAAGTCTTCGGCTCGACTGGTCCGTGATGGCGCAAAGCTCGCACCACCGCGTTGCAGCATTTTCCCCGCCCATCGACCTCATGTCAGCATGCATCAACTTCGTCCTCAAACAAACCTCGTGGTTTATGACCTGCACATAGATTAATTATATCCGATCGGTCGAAGTCGACGTCGGCCGGAATGGCACCCTTACTATTGATCGTTCTTTCCTGGTTAGGTAGCCGTGGCGGACTCTTCTGGCCACTTGATGTGCCTACTTCCTTCCAGGAGCACAAACAAGGCCCGTTCGCGGCATTCAACTCGCCCAGAAGTGAATGGTACTTTCTTAATCGGCCGTTAAGTCACCACTGATCTCGGTGAACGCGTTCCCTTCTTGTTCAAATATCGGCTAACCAACGGGTTCCACTTCCCTAATACCTAACTTTACAACTTACACCAAGAGGTATTTATTTACACCCGATGGAAACCGCCCGCGAATCCGACATGCAACCACCAGAAGAAGCAGTAGCGACTTCGCAACATGTCTCTGAATCTGTTCACTCTGCGCCTCAGGTCTGTGATACTCAGACAGACGCACAGATGCATGCAGCATCTGCAGATAGTCAAGCTCGCCTGGGGTGTGGGGAAGATGCAAGTGCGACTAGTGTTCTATCAAATCTACCTACGATTACATTGAGTATGCCTTCCCCGCCGCCACTGTATGATCAGTTGTTTCCACCGCAGGGACCTGAGCAGCAAATTCCAGCCAACCAAGCCTCTCCACAGGCCGTATCGGCAACAAGCAACCAAGGGCCACAGGTGTCGTACCAAACTCATTATCCAAGGCCAGACACTCCACCTCAATGCCCAACACCCACCGCCACGCCCGTCAATCATCCACCAGTTCAAATCGTCCCCCGGCCCCAGGAAGATATTGATGAAATCTTCGAAGCTATAGAAACCAATAACTTCGACAGTTCCATCTTCGGGGAAGCAGGTGCGGTATACCACGACAAACTAACACGGCGACTCATGCCTACGACACCAATGTTCCAACATTACAACATCATTCCTGAGGTGCCATACCCAAGGACTGTAGCTGCTCCGAACGATAGACTGCAAACGCCTGATACACCGACACCGAAGCCCAAGCCTAAGCGTAAGCCTAGGAAGAGGAAGCGGGATCAGACGCCACAGGATATGGTTGGGCAGGAGGTGGATGGAATTAAGCAGGAGCCGGTGGAGAAGAAGCTGAAGGGTGTGAAGGTCGAAGATACCACGTAGAGGCCACACCGTTGCAAATGACCGGCCGTGTTCGATCTGGACGGAAAGAGCCTGATACATGGCTCATAAGAATCTGGAATATCTCATAAGTGAAAGCAAAACTCTCTGGCGCAATGGTAGCGCATCACGCTTCTATTCAAGCGTCGCCTACATCTTTGAGAGTGGACGCACTCCGGGATGGAAGGCCCGCTTGAACCGTGAAGGTTATGAGTTCGACTCTCATGGAAGTTAACAGCTATTGTTTTTGCGCACCAAGTATCACTAGCATATATTACATGTCTCTAATGTATCTTTTTGGCTTTTCACAAAATCTTCTATTACTTCGTGACCATCACCTCATCCATCATCCCATCCCCACAATCTACCACTCCCCCAAATCCTCCCCCGTAAGATTCGGCCTAACATCCCCACCCTCCAACCATATCTTACACTTCCCATACAACACATCCCTTTCCGGCCCATGCGCATTCAAATCCATCTTCGGCGGCCTCCCCGCCTTACTCTCCGCCCAAGCCAGATACCGATACCCACTCGGATACTGCTTGACCTCTTCCTCGGGTACATCGAACGCCTTCCCCGGTACCACAGGCACCATCTTATCCTTATCGAACAGCAACGTCATGAAATTGACACCCCATTTACCCTGCGCGTTTTTCGAGAGGAAGAAGAAAAAGCGGGTATCCGCTTCGTTGTCCATCTCAATGCCCTCAAGCATGATGCGACATGTAATTGTAACTTTCATTTTACTTATCGCCCGGTCGCCTTGAACATCGACCGTCTGGCCACATATGCGATGCAGGATATACGGAAACGGGCCATGAGGCGTCTGTTTCTCGAAGCCTTCTTTGGAGGACGCGATGAAGTCGTCGAGGCGGCCTTGCGTCCATGATGTGGTTATGTAGGCGCCGGGGTGGAACATGGAAGAGTAGTTTTGCCACTCGGCGGCGTCGCGGTACATGCCCCAGCCTTCGCAGATTTCGCGGATCTTGAGGCGGTCGAGGACGGAGGCGTCGGTGCCGGAGGTGTTGTTGCGGGTGGCGTTTTGGGGGTAGGTGGATAAGGGGGGTTGGACGGTGGTGTATTCGAGGCTTGGGTGTGGCATTTTGGCGGTGATCAAATGGCTCAGATCCGTTTCTTAGGGAATCCTTGGGATGCATGGGGTTTGGTATTTGTAGAGTTGATGTATACCTAGGTATGTCGCTGTGATGTATGCAGTGGTAACGGTTACGTCATGGCGTGACTGCCGAACAAGAGGATTGTAATAGTCATGAAGACACATGTTCTTCTGCAAACTGTTCCAGGCTCCCATTAGCCACCCAGGTCTTGTATTCAGAAAGGTGTTGAACTCGGTCATACATGGTTTCTGAGTCTTCCAAGGTTGGTATCAAGATGTATCTAGGGCTGCCGAGTCTTGCGACTCACAACGTCGCTCGTAGCGATCATTCTCGCTTCAGTCTCTTCGCGGGGCTACCCTCCGCCAAGGCGGAACCCCTCTTTGTGTTGGTTTGCTAGCAACCATCTCATGTACAAAGAGATGCTTGCGTACGATTGTTTGTAGCAAGCATACTGCCGTATATAGGCAGCGCTCCTCTCATGTTAGAATAGATCATCAATTCACCTCATTTCTGCTCACATTCAAGACTTTGTCGGGCTGCTCCATTGGAGGTTGCGCGCTCTCCTGCATCTGAAAGGCGAGGAATTGGGACGGTTTCCTGTCATGAACGCGCTCCAACTCCAGTCCTCGTGGTCATCCTGTGGCAAACCCGGTATTAGTCTTGGTATCAAGGTGTATCTAGGGCTACCGAGTCTTGCGACTCACAACATCGCTAGTCTGCTTGCTTGCGGGTTGCTTCTCGCTTGTGTGCTCAGGGTTGCTCGTCTTCTCGCCGCTGTCATCGTCGGCCTCCGAAGTTGCAGCCGAACTGCTGTCTTGGTCATGCTCGTTCATTGCCTGGAGTGCGGTTCGCTGGCTGTAGGTCGGCGGCTCTGGCCTCATATCCCGCGTCATCTCCTTCAATACGCTGGGCATTGTCCGGAGGATCCTATCGTACGCTATCCGGACCTGGGGGCTGGTGAGGAACAGGTGATCTACAAAATCTGTTTCCAGATTTTGCTCATTGGCGAATCGCGCCAAACCACCACCAGCCACCCAGGCCTAGTACTCGGAGAGGTGCTTGACGCGGTCGTACATTGTTTCGGGGATTGCGCGTCTCGGAACGCTCGCCGTCGCACTAGGGCTTTTTACAATGTCTTTGCTGTTGTCCGACATGTCTTGATAGTGTCTCTCAAGATCTTGTTGGGTGTGTTTAGAGGAGGGGATGTGTTGTGCGCGCGCAGATGATGTGCAGGTGACACGTCGGAAGCTTTTGTGAGGTGCAGGTAGGCCTAAAAAATTGATGGTATGCAGAGGAATATTTGATGAAGCAGGTTTTAAAATCCCAGCTTCCTGACGTACCATGGTTCTGGGGACTTGCGGCTTGGCGTTGATATGCCGGAAGATAATCTGTGATGCAGGGCTTGCCGAGATCGAGATGGCCTTTGGAGGGGATGCGCGGTTGCTGTGGTTATAATTCAACAGGAAAAGTGAGGTGTTGACTACACGGAATCGCTTTCCCAAGAAGGAAACTACGTTCCGTGTTCTTGCTCGGAAGTCGCGTGTCAGCCAACAAAAAGACAGGTAGGTGCACCTGGCTTGAGCGGAGTAATGCAGGCAGGACGCCACGGAAGGATTTGAATACGCATGTGCCGGGGAAGGTGAATGAAGATTGATGCAGACGATCGAAAATGGCTTCATATACAACGCTATATACTAAATATCTTACACGTTCTGCTCGTTGATGAACAGACCGGCCATACCCATACCAGTACCAATGCACATACTGGTGAGCAGAACCTTCTTCTTCTGCCTCCTGCACTCGCTCAGACCAGTGACGATTTGACGCGCACCAGTGCAGCCAAGTGGGTGACCCAGCGCAATAGCACCTCCCCTTGGGTTGAGCTTCTGGTGGTCGATCTTGAGTGTCTCGAGACAGTATACAGCCATGGAAGCGAAAGCCTCGTTGAGCTCGATAAGGTCAACGTCCTCGAGCGTGATGTTGAACTTGGAGAGGAGCTTAGGGATGGCGACGGATGGGCCGATACCCATGATCCTGGGTGGCAGACCAGCGACGGTGGCACCGACGTACTTGGCGAGGATGGGTTGGCCAAGCTTCTCGGCAGTGGAGCGCTTCATCATGAGGATGGCAGCGGCACCGTCTGTGAGTTGCGAAGAGTTTCCGGCGTGTGACCTGTCGCCATGGGGCAGGAAAGCAGGCTTGACCTTCTGCAGGCTCTCGAATGTGGTGCCGGCGCGGATACCCTCATCCTTGGTCAGGGTGACGGTCTTGACCTCGCCTGTCTTGGGGTCCTTGATCTGGGTGGTGATGGGCGCAATCTCGTCGTCGAACCAGCCCGCCTTCTGCGCAACCTCGGCTCTCCGGTATGACTCGGCAGCGTACTTGTCCTGGCGCTCGCGCGAGATGTTGAAGTCCTTGCCGACGTTTTCTGAGGTCTGGCCCATGGGCTGCATGCAGTCCTTCGCCTCCTGGTTCTCGAGCACCTCGTCGACGAACGGCCTCTCGAGCCTGTCGCCACCTGCTGTCATGCTCTCAGCGCCCATGGCGAGACCGCACTCGATGCTGCCGACGGCGATCTGGTTGGCAATGTCTTGTACGGCCTTGAGTCCCGAGGAGCAGAAGCGGTTCAGCGACGAGCCGGATGTGGTGTTGGGGAAGCCAGCGGCGAGCATGGCGGCGCGGACATAGTAGGCAGCCTTGGCATCTGAGACGTTGCCGACGCAGATGTCCTCTACTACTGCGGGATCGAGGTTCGACTTTGCGACGACTTGCTTGAGCGTCTTGACGAGGATGCCGTCAAGGGTCGTGTCCTTGAAGCCGCCCTTGTGTGCCTTGGTGAGGGGAGTGCGGAAGGCCAGGGTGATGACAACATCGTCGGGGTTCTTGGTGGTACTGTTGATGGCTGTCAGCGCTGCATTCTTCCCTTATCATCCGCCGCGCGTTCTTCACGTGTCATTTCTGTCCGGGTGGAGCTTACAGGGCCGAGATGCCGCTGGCCGAGGGCGTCATGTGCGAAACGATGGACTTGAGGCGGTCGGTCATTGTGAAGGTAGAGACGAGCGATTAATTGAGGTTTGTGAGTGAGGAAGGCGATGTTTAGGGGAGATGGTGAGTGAATGCGGAGGTGGAGACAGCTCTTAACTTAAGTTGTGGGGCAACATAGTCGCGACGGCTGGGCCGAGGATCTCGGAGCCACATATCGCCAGGTCACGTTCTCTCGGCAATTGCCCTCTTGCCAGGCCGGGCCTTTTTGCTCACTCAACAACAATCGCTGAGCATACTAATCAGCCCATGTCCTCGTAAGCCAGAATTCAAAGATGGGATGTATCAAGGTCTGCCCATCCACAGAAGTGCTGCATTGCTGGTCACGCCTTCCCCGCAATTCGCCGCCACGCTGCTTACGCCTCTAGCTTTGTGCTACGCAACTCCGACCTCATCTCAACCCACCGCCGCGAGAACACATTCAATCTCTATCTGATCTCATTCCAGTTATGGTGAACTTTTGCACGTATGCGCACGCGAGTTTGCGACTTCTACTTCCGCGTCATTGCCCAATTGCCCCGAATGTCCCGTCGCGATTCCTTGGCACAACCACGACGCGCAGAAAACACGCCGGTCTTCCGTCGCGTTGCCTATAACATATACAATGTTCCTATCGCTATCGCTTGATAGGCAGTATACTATTTCTTAGGATGGAGCGCATGAGCAACACAGCCTCCACAGCCAGCATTGAGACCCAATCTTTTGGGAACTGTGCCACCTAGTTGTTATGCTGTCAAAGGAAATTTGGCCCCCAAACGCCATCACTGCCTGCACACCGCATCCCAAAGGGCAAGTTTAAACGCGAATCGCGCTGTCAAAAGGTAAGGGTGGTCAGGCAGGTCAGCCTTGCATACGCCGCGTAGCATTTTCACAGTCATACTCTTCATCCATCGTTCGTACTACAGAGACGTCAACCACGATGCTGTCCGAGGTTACCTGGATGCTTTGTCTTCAAAACGCCGCAAACAACCCAGCCAAGCGACTCAACGCCATGTCCTTATTGGAATCTCGCTCAACATCCCAGCAAGACCCAACGAGCTTGAAGTGGCTTAAGGCACCCCGCGGAATGCATGCTGTCTGCACGCGCCTGCTAATAGACCCACACCCTCATTGGAGAGAGGGAAGCCACTCGCGAGGCTTGCAGGGTCTCACACAACGGGAGCATGGGGGCGGCGGAGCAGGGCTGCGCTTTGACCTCATCCTTCCCATCCCTTGTGAGTACTACAAATGCTCGCTGCTGGTCTCGTCTGTTCGCAGTGGTACGCGATCTCATCGCCTCTCTGACTTCAGCCATGGCCGATTTCCCAACCGCCTCCATGACGACTTCCTTCAGTTCCTCCTTGACGCGACCGACACCCTCCTATTCGATTATGACCCCTTTCACTCCGCCGTCTTATTGCGACAACGTTGTCAAGTCGTCATGTTTTTTTGAGACACCGTCTAGTGGAACTTCAACTGGCACACCTACCCTAAGTTGTGGGTACGTTGAGCGTGATCAGACCTGCGGTTCAAATGGACGCCCCACCCGTGCTAGCGAATGCTTTCCAGGCAGTCCATTCCCATACTCGGTCTTGACATACTCCCCAGCTACAGGATGTCCCGATGGGTGGGCAACGCAAAGCCAGATTATAGATCCGTCAAGCCAGACCACCGCAGTATGCTGTCCATCGTGAGTAGTTTCTGGCCAGCATGTTTGGCAGCCACTGACATTATTCATTAGCGGCTACTCCGCGCATTACTTATATTCGAGTTGTACTAGTTCGATCACCTGGACCGCCAACTCAACTTCGGTCTTAGCTTGCCAGACGGATGGAAGCTCGGCTTCTGAATGGTTTACCAGCGAATATGGTACCGATAATACAGCCGTTTGGGCCGCAATAATTGAGGCAATTCTCACCACTGCCTCTTCTTCAGAGGCAACCTTTACCCCTCTTAGCGAACCAACATTAGATTTCGGTCCTCCTCATTATAACCCACCACCTGCGGATTCCCCAGAACCCAAATCACGTCGTCTCGGTACAGGTCCCATTGTTGGCATCGCTGTGGGTGCGGTCGCCGCACTGGCACTCGCCGGCGGACTCCTCTTCCTCTGGCGTCGCCGACAAAACCAGCATCACCACGCGCCGATACCGAAGGCTAGCCCGAGTGGAGAGCACGACGCATTACCTGAGTTTGTGGGAAACCATGGCATGATTTCCCCGCCTACACAGATGGCGAGTTCGAATGGTTTGTTTCATCCACAGCCGGAGGTTAGGTCGCCGAGATTGGAAACTGCGCTCACACCGGGGCGTTGATGGGTTTTGATGGCGTGGATCTTTTCTTCGTTTGTTACTATATTGATACCCATACTGTTTAGCAGAGAGCGATACGTTGTAACCACTTGGTCGTTCGAGACCGACAGAACCTTCCCTCTCTCATTTTCATGATTTTTTTGCTATAAGGCTTTTGTTCGGTTCCGCCTTCCTAAGTCCATGGACGTGCGCGGGATCTCACTGCGCATGCGCAGCTCCGTTTGATCATCCCTTGTACCAATCATCGTCATATACATAACATAAGATTTCCGGCAAGGTTGGTTGCCAAGGATCAATCTCTCGCCCGCTTTAACGCATGGGCAGATGTGCGGCGCAGCATACGGCGCGGAACTCAAGCAACATTTGCGAATCTCGTCACACCGTTGACCATCCTCTCATTAGCCGACGGTATCATGCGCCGCATTATAATGTTCCCGGTGCCAGGCGTTGCATATGAATGCACGGGTGCCTTTGGTCCCCATATGTTCATCTTCGTCTTCTCGTAGCCAAAATCATCCTCTCTTATCCGCAACATGGCCGACTCTCCCGTTACATCATCGTCATCGTCTTCTGCTAGCGAACAAGCAACATCATCCTCCCTGTCCAGCAACATAAACACCACTTCCCGCACATCGTCGTCGCCCGTAACAACACCAGACTCCACAGCCCCGTACGGGTCGCTAATTACGCCATTCACCGCACCAGCTTACTGTTCTCTTCCCGTTCGAGAGTGTGATCCAGAAGACAGCAGCAGCTGCGCATCGTGGGAAAGAGATCGAACATGCGGATCTGACGGCAAGCCCACTCTGGCAAGTGAATGTTTTCCGCCAGGAACACACTGGCTTGGCCCCTACCTTTCTTCTCACTCAAACCTCTTGTATTCTCCGGCAAATCAATGTCCAGAAGGATGGGTTGATGTAGCACGGAGGACATTCGGCACACCTTCTACTTACACTCAAGTCGCATGCTGTCCTTCGTAAGTTCTTCTCATGCATGCATGACAGGTTCAATTAATTGACCTATCGATACAGCTCTTACCGTACTTACGCAGGCAACACGAACCTGGCAGTGGAACAGGCTTGCTTCAGCCTTCCCGGCACTGACGTTACCACGTTAGACGAGGTTGTGTGCGTTGAAGGCAAAGCTCCCGTCACTACTACCACGACTCTATCTGACGACATATGGCGTAACCTTATCGACGCCAGGCAAATCCAGTTGATTCTGCCTACATCCGAGTGTTCAACGGCACCAGACGGCTCATCTTCCTGCTCATTGGATCTCCCATCGCCGGCGCCAGAGACCACTCCTTCCGACCCCGACGCATCAAGCAAATCGCCATTACCAAAAGGCGCGATCGCCGGTATCGCGGTGGGCTTCGCCATTATTTTGTTAATGGCTTTGTGCGCGCCTGTTTGGATCCTTCATCGTCGGAAGCAACGACAACATAGTGGCACTGGTACAAAGAAACGGATACCTTTCGATCTATCATCCTTGCCGGAGCTTGTGGGCATAAAAGGGAATGGGGGTTCGAGTGCGGAAATGAGTCTGGGTCATCCGAACGACGTGGTGCCGCAAGGGGGAGGGATCGCATCGGCGTCTGCACCGGTGGCACGATAGTAAGAGTGGCCGTCGGGATATGTAGATGTCCGTGCCATCGCAGCAGAATGAAGTCGAGAGGTCGCTATAAAGTCTGCTGCACGGTGATGACGGACTTCGGGTCATGCACGTGATCAGCTCGTTGGGGTTAGCGAGATCGTAGCGCGTTTTGGGACTCGCGTCATTACGTCAGCGGACGGTGGCACACGCGTCGCGTCCTCGAACTTCGGCCGTCGAGCTGTCAAACCTCGCCTGACAGCTTTCCCCCACGCACATGCTCGCCATGCTGAATCAACACTCGGGCATCGACGCGACAATGCGAGCTCATAGAACGCAGACACGCCACTGATTAAACGAGGACAGCACTTTTCCCGCCGACATACCGATCGTCAGCGAGACGACCTCGGGAGCTCGATGATTCGATGTCTTCGTCAATATCGTCGCCTTGCTTTACACCGAGACAAACGCTTGGATGACTCGGCCACTTTGGACTGAGCCTATAAGACTGCACTGCGCTTCCGGCATGGTAGCCTGACAAACGCCTGCTGCCTTCTACAGTCAAGACATGCGGTCACAGAGGAGCGGTCAAGCTGTGTTAAACCACCGAATCCTGCTTGTGGGCGCGATGATTTGCTAGTTTTGATGGCAATCACTGGATTCGCTAATCTCGAGTTATAGACTCGAAGGCAGCGATTGTCGACCGCGATTTGCAGCTCTCTCGCTATGAATTCACTCAATCCTATTGGGGTCGGCGTAATGAAGCAGGCACTCATGGCAGATGTTGATCGTTCCCTGCGTTACTGCCATCTATTGGCTGCAGCCTATGAGTGTAGCCTCGCCTTTATCCTGCCGTATATTCACCTTATTGATCACCGGTTTATACGACTTCTACCTCTCCACCGCCTAGCTCAATACACCGACCACCCGGAAGCTTGTTACCACTCTACCTAACGTTCGCTCAACCCCTAGATCGACTACTGAAGCAAGAGTGCAGCACACGATCCTCCTGACTCCGCACCTGCTCCACGTTGTTCAGCCCACTCTCGACTGCAGTATACGAGTCGGACCTGGTGTCTGCCGATATGGATATTTTCAAGTCATGGAGCAAGTGGCAGGGTTTGACTGCACTAGCTGTTTACTCGGTTACCATCATCGCCCTGGACCGTGTCTACGTAGAAGGCAGTACGTGGAAGTCCGCCGTGGCTTGGTGGAAGAGGTATCTAAAGCGCAGACGGGATGATCCTTGGATGAACGCCAACACGAGCAACGAGATCATCTTAAATATGCTGGCCAAGGCGATACCCGAGTCGCCAAACCATGTGTCGGATAAGGGCTATGAGCTTCTTTGCAGCTACAGCTTCAAGTCGTACACCAATACTCCTACTATCTACGTTCCTGGGACTCCGCCGATGTTCACGAAGCCACCTGCCCCGTTGAAACTGGAGCCAGACACAGGACGCTATTATATCGATCAACATGTAGCCAAGGTACCGCGATTCCAGTTCGAGCCACTCTTCCAGGCTCTTAATGTTATGAAGCCAAGCAAGCGTTTCGATGACGTTGATGTCCTCGTCGCTCGCGGATCAATGACTGCGCTCATTACATACGTCAAGGATGTATCATGCCAGCCGTTTGCACTGACCCTCCACGTCGTTGGCAACACTTTGATTGTGGGGCGACGGCTTCGATCCGGCATGGCCGGCTCTACCAACGGATCGTACGGACGTAACTTCGAGGCTGCCTGGACGACTCAACTGGAACCAGACCTTCAAGATGCGGAAGGACATCACCATACCATTCAGTACGATTTCGGGGGCCTCAACATCGTGGTAAGGGCAGAGACAGACGCATACATGCCCGATGAGCAGCCCTCCTGGAACGAAATCGAGGAAATGTTGGCGAAATCCACATTGCATCCCGAGCCCGAGATTGCGAACACTACCATCCGACTCGCAAGCTCTGACTCGACCACCGTGCTTCTGGCAGGAAAGTCGATCTCTCACAGCAAGACAATGGAACTAAAGAGCAACAACCAGAGCAAGCCCCTCGATCAAATCTGGGTCGGTAGAACTTCGCGATGGTCTCTTGGAACGAACAAGGATGGTGTCTTCTCTTCGACCGAGAAACTCTTCACTCCAGAGGAAATGAGAAGGAGCTACGAGGATGACGGCAAGCGACAAGCAGCTCTTCGTAAGCTTGTGTGGTTGTTGGGCGAGTTGAAGACGACAGTAAAGGAGAATACGAGCAACGGTTCTGCTGTACTTCTCTGTCTGGGAAAGGGCGAAGAGCTGGTAGTACGCCCAATGAAGACGCATTTGCCTGCGCTTCCTGATGCGATTGTGCAGCGTTTCTGGACCTTGTCCGATTAGGACGAGATGCACGCGTAGGTATATTCAAGGTTTCCATCGATTCTGATGACTGGAATTCCAGGCTGCCCAACTCTTTCATTGCCCCTCAAAGCTATCACAATCATATTTTCAAAGTATAATCTCAATGGCTAGCCCGAACCAAGACGAGGCCCCAGTCCGAGTCAAAATCGTAGCCTGTTCCCATGTATTGCTGCTCCGTTGCTAGGCAGCCAATTGATTCATTTGTTAGAATTACGTGGTCCGGCCTATTAGCGCTCTCCCCTCCGCCCCCGGATTTGTCGCGTTGAGGAGCTGCACACCCTCTTATGTGGAATACGCTGAAGAGATGGGGATTTCACTAGGATTAGACAAGCAAATGTGAAAATCTGACGTCAAAGTCGGTTCTAGGGTGCTCGTTTATCTCCTGGAGTGAGGGAGTATCGGCAAACAAAACAAGTCTCTTCTGCACGCCAAGTCTTTTAATGGTATCAAGCCCCTTCGTTCCTCGTCTCTTGTCTCTATCACGGTCATGAGCAGTCCCACCACCGGCCGCCAGCGCGGTACTGCCTCCAAAGCGCCCCGGAAAACACTTCGCAACCCCACCGACGTTGGTCGCAGTGAGAAAGAGAGGCGTCCGCGCGCATCTAGCGGCGCTACCCCACGAGCAACCACTCACAAGCGCTCGCGATCTGGAGCGACTTCTGCCCTCGCCGACGAAGACGGCGACGACGATGACGGCTTCGATTCAGAGCACGACAGGAACGTCAAGAAAGGTCGCGCGAGATTCAACGAAAACGGTTTCTTCCCTGAAGGTGACAAGAGCATGCGCTACTTTGGACCTGGGTTTACGGATCTCTACTCGCCGTCCGTATCGCATCAACTTATCCATACCGGATTACACAACAAGATGCCGCCCCACGATGTACTTCAGAGGCCTTTCCATCCACTGCACAGTGTTGTAACCCCCTCACAATTCGATCTATCTGTCTTCACTATCCCACTGACCGCGTTGGAGATTCCTACGGTATGAAATCTGTTACAGTCTCCTTACATACCGCTAACTCGTTTCAAGTTCTTTCCCCTTCATGCGCAGATTCCCGAAGTGCAAGCCCGTTTCGCACAGGGCGGAATCACCCCAAAGTTCCAGGCTTGGATCATCGTGAGTCTTCTTCCATGTTTACCGAACACGCGTGTGGTACTGAGCTGACATTTCATCCCGAAGAATCGTCAGCACTTTCTCCAAGGTCTGGACTGTCTCTTCGGTATGGACGCACGCACCTGGGTAAAGGACTGGAAAAAGAAGAAGGGAGTGACAAAGCCTGTCAAAGGAGCTCCGCCGCCTGCACCGCAGCCGATCATCCACACGACCGGACACTACAGATTCACACCCGGTGTCAACCGACACACTGGCTTCGACATCACCAAGACACCATACGCGCTTATCGGTTGCGCCGAGGGTGTTCATCCGTGCAATTTTCCCCAAGGTCTTGACCGCGGTCCCTTCACCGAAGCCCTCTTCCAAGCGCAGTTCATGAATCGCTCGAATCTTATGCTGGCTGATCTAGATGCGTTCATTGCGTATTGGCTTATCGATCGAAATCTTCAGGCCGGCTACAGCGATGCGGGGTTTCTGAAGAGGCATGTGGCGTTGCATGAGGAGTATCGGGCTATGGTGAGGAAGGATGTAGAGAGTCATGGCTATAGGTGGGAGGACTGAGGCTTGAGCGATGTGTTGTGGTGATGTTCAAGTGTGAGGATGGTATACTGGCAGATAAATGGAAAAGAGGCACGTAGATGTCTAGACTGCCTTTCGTAGCTTGGAAGCGAGACTCTTCCAGCGATACAGTTATTGACGTGCCAATAAATAAGAGTCATTTGCGAATTGTTTCAGTTGACGTGAACAAAGGCGTCTTGTTGGAAGCATTCGCGGATGTGGTATCGTGCGTGATACTGTCTGAGATCAACATCACATTGCTCAAAGCTACTGTGTCGTGTCTAAACACAAGTCTTTATCATCATGTGAACCTTTCGCGCTGTACTTGATGTAATGAACTTTGCCATTTGATCTAATGTCACACGTGTAAACCGCTCGACTATGTTAATATTACCCATCTCATAAACTAATGTCGCAGCAACATGCACGAAAACATCTACTAAATACTATGGATAATTGCGAGATCTATTATTCAATTCCTTCCTTGTCTTTCCATGTGTCTTATTCTAATGCAACGCTCATAATACCCCGACCAGATACTCCTATAGCATGTCTTCCAAAGACTCGGTCGTCTCTTCTCATGTACTTCAATGATCTGCGCGACAGAGGCACAGAAGTATAGCATCAATCCATCTAACTTTGCAAGACACTGACAAGTCCTGATTGAGTGACAGAAGAATTTACAAATCGTGACTGTAAGAATGCAGGATAACGAAGCTTTCGTGGATCCCCAAAGGCTCACACAATACACTGACTCTTTCCCCTGATAAGACCTTTCTCAACACACAAATGAGCCTCGCTCTTTCGCCACCACATTTGGAATTCGGTACTTGCGGTCTTTCTGATCGACCCGTGGATCGTGTGTAGATATATAAATCCATCAATCCTTTGACTAGTTCCTTCTCTTGTCGTGGCTGATGTTGCGTGACGTACTCTACGAATTGAAGAAGACTGACAAGAATTCCGAAGATAGGAACTGGTCAACTGATCAACTGATGCTAATTTCGAAAATCCTTCCTTGTATGGCTCACATCAATATTATCGCCAGGATATGTGACCGACCAGGAAGTGAGGAATCTTGTTGAAGCAATTCCCAGAAGATCCTCGAGACGAGAGGAAGCTTCTCAATGGAAGCAAAATTGTGGTTGGGTGGCTTCGCACGAAAAGCGTGGAGTGACGTTGCAGTTTTCGGCCTAGTTCGCATCCCACCGCAAGTGTGTTTTCACCAGCAAACTTTTCCGACAGCCTTTCTTCCGTTGCTCAAGGACGACGCGTCAGCGACCCCTTATCGGAGAACTTCGCTGCGATCCTGGCCAAGGTCGCTGAATGCCCGAGACCGTGTCCCTCATATGGTTGAGTCATGTCGTGAGGCCGCGATGGCAAGATGGCGGTCTCCTAATGGAACTATCGCAGTATCGAAAGTTGGGGGATGGCTTTAAGACCTCCGTGAGAAAGCTTTTGGATCTACTCATGGCAAAAACTCGTCAAATGTCATGAGAAGACACAGCGGTAGCTGGAATGACTGGTATGTCTAAAGCTCAGCCTCACTGATCATTGAGCCTGGTCTTGGCTCCCCATCGCGACCTTTGCTTTGTCCTTCTTCTGCCGGATGCGATAATCCGCCATCGTCTTGCGATATCGTTTTAAATCTGATTTGTGGCGACGAGACGCCTCCTCGTCTGGGTTCTCCATTCCAGGTCCAAAAGAAGGGTTTGTTGTCTCAAAGTAACCCTCCGAATCTTCGATGAACGCAACATCGCTGAGCAAAAGGTCACCCCACTCGGCTATATTGTCGACGACATACTCAATCAATTGAGTTAGAAGACCCCTGTCTGAACCGGAAGGAAAGTCATCACGGTCGACGCCGTTTGCGAGCGGTAGAAGTGGCCTTGACGGGTAGACTCTAAACACCGCAGCCTTGTCGCCATAGATTACAACGCGTCGAGTACGCAATGTACTATGGTCGCTCAGCTCTGAGATCATCCTAAGGTACTCGATCGTGCTAGGTTTTCAATACACCGGGTTTGTTATCAAACTTCAAAGGATCAATCTTCGGTTTAGATACACTTTGTCTGATTGATCTAATGTGGTATGTGCTATACAGAGCAGTTCTCAACGTATCCAGCTACAAACAGTGCGCGGCGCTTACCGACTCGGTAAATTCAATGCTGGTGTGACACAGCAACGACAACCACGTCTCCTTCGCCAGTATGCGAATAGAGTTCTCCTTCACAGTGTTCTTCTCTCGAGGCGATCAAGTGCTCGGTCTACTTAGATAGGGGATTAGAGCTCATCAAGGAGATCATGTCCACTCCGAGAGTTATCTCCTACAGATACTGATTAGATTGGAAGAGGACATGCATTGATATGGACTATTGGCAGTGACCAAAAGCCAAAGAACGATAAAGGAGGGCTGAACGGCCAACATACCAGATAACATGGATACATCCGCCACCGAAGTGGCCCCAGCCTTGTACTCTGGTACAGGTCGTCGAAGCACTTCCTCAGTCTTTGCAGATATGGCCATACCAGGCGCATGAAATGCCATATCTGGAAGGGGTATGGTCCCCAGAAAGCATGCGTGGCTGAGTCTGAGCAGATTCGTACCTGGCACAGGTGCGCCCTTCAAATCGGGGAGAAGTTGAGGCTGTGCGCTGTAGAGTTGATCTGGAGAGAGAAACGTTTGGGCTGAATCCTGCGGAAGAATGAGCCCCGTAGGTGCAATGTTATTACGAGGCTTCTGAAGACGAGAAGATGACTTAGATGCAAACTGTCCGTAGCTCCTCTCGTCGAAGCCCAGCTGCGGACGTCTACGGATTTGTTGATTGATGCTATTAAAGCCGACGTCCGTCATATCTCCTGGAAGCGACTGCGGGTATGGGAAGGGCGGTGTAGCGTTTTCGAATTCGTCTATCCTATGCGGATAAGCTATCCTATAGTCAAAGTCGTATGGTGGAAAGGCTAGTGCGTGTATTAGCGATGCATTACCACTTTTTCTTGACTGAATTGTCTCACCGGTGTTGGTGCTGGAGCTGATCGTCGCCTGGTTGGTCGTCGCGCGCGGGAATTGAGCGTTGCACTTCGAAGTGCACTGTGAACGGTTGACGATCGCGGGCTTGCTGGACGCCGTATTCCAGCTCTCGAGGCCGACGTTCTCTCCCCCAACTCCCAGAGAGTTCGTGTCATCAAAGTAGGTATCGTACTCTCCTGGGCCTGTGAACAGTCCTTGTACATCCAGGTATGTGGTGCTTTCGCTCAGGTGGCGCATGTACTCCCCTGGAGGGGCAACTGCGTTCACATAGCAGTCCTCCGACATTGTTGTGCTAGGTATACCGAGCATTGTGCGCTGGAAGAGGTCTAGAGACCCGTCATAGGTGTCTCTGCGAGGCGCTGTGGATCTCGAGTTAGGGCTGTGATGAGCTTTACCAACATTGTGCAGGCGCTGCGTATATTGACGCAATACATGACCTTCAGACAAGGGGTGTCAACTTACGCATCGCTCTTCCGCCGTATAGGGCCTGGCAAAAGTCTGTAAAGTTGGAGAGGAGGCAGAGTTCGAGCCAGATTCTTGCCTCGGGTATCATACAGGCCAGAAAGGGCGCTGGAAGAAACACACTAGTACGAGAACCAATCTGAAAAGGCTGCGTAGTGAAGCTCCGCATCCAACGAGGTTAGTCTTAGTTTCATTTTGACATCGTCAATGCTTACTGGAATGGGTAGCAATGTGCATATTGTCAGTAAGAGAGACACTGATAAAATAGGCCTTTAGTGGGAAGACATAGAACATGTAACATCGCGCCAAGAACACAGCGTAAGCTGTAGGCACAGCTCTGGATATCTAACATGACCTTTCGCCAGCTATGATCATCAATCAGCCAGGCATAGAAAGACCTGTTGGCTGGCTATGTACATCTTCCTGAAGGGTCTTTGCGGTCATGACTTCTTTAGTCTTGGTGAAAATACCGTCCCGCTGCCCACCACTTTCGGACGACATCGTACGTTGGATCATGAACCCGAGTCGCATCGTAAGTCTGCTGTGGAAAGATTCGCTCCAGCGCCTGCCAATCAGTCTGATAGAGACTAAGGGGACTAGGCTGTGGAAGAGGACCATATAGTTCAACCATTTCCTCTTGTACTTGTTCGACGTAACGCTCAAGTTGAGATAGTCGTACGTTATTATGGCCGCGTCGACGAGCGTGCCAGACAGCAAGGGTCAGCACCCCCTGATCAGCTCCTCCAGGCCAGTATACTAGTCCGTCGCCCAGGCTGACAAGGAAGCAGTCGCGAAGATCGCAGAACTCGGTAGTTGAGTTCACACGATCGGTATTGATCGCAGAGAGCGTAATACCGGCGGCGGCGCAAGAGTGACTACGAGCATCTCGTCGATGCTTCTTCATACTGCCGGCGGAGTGGGCCCGTAAATCGCCTACACTAAGCTGGCGGGAGTAGAACTTTGAGATTCGTTAGCAAGGTTCTTGAAGACAGAGGCAGTAAGTACTGACGATCAGCTCACGCAGCTTATGAAGATTCCATCCGCTCGCTTCGAAGCGCTTCCAGATAGCCCTCCAACATGAGGCTGCTCGAGGAAAGAACTGCATCCTTCGTCAGTTCATTTTGCGCGCATAGGGGATGGATTAAGTAGCCCACCGCAGCGATCTCCACAAGAGTCACCTCGATATTGGGTCCAATCAGTCGGACGTCAACATGATCCCATAGCGCTACGCTGTTGAATGAACAGTATGAGGATTCTAAAGCCTTCTCAGGTAGAACCATACGTGGGGTGATGCAAAGCCAGGCAAGTTTACGAGACTCTGGCCACTCGTACCGATGGATACCAGCGGAACCACTGGAACGAACGCCGGATGTTCTAGGTCCTTGCGGTACAACGATCTGGTCCTGGCGTTTAAGTAGTATAGGTGGTGGTGGTGGTGGTTGGTAAGCTTGGAGAGCCTGCGCCGGCTGTTGGGCTTCGAGGTATCGTAGATACCCCGAGAGGCTGTGATACATAGCTTGGTTTACGAGTTCGAGGGTGTTGAGGGCTTCAAATGCTAATCGCACGTCACGCGGAACGCGCACGGTGTATCCGGGCGCGTACCTCAAGAGTTCGACACACTCGGCGACGATGATACCGCTTCCGTTGGCGGAGTCGCTAACCCAGTAATGTAGGCCACTCTGTGTGGGAACCATGGCCCCGATCTGCTCCAGTCGCTCGCTCAAGTCGCAGAAGTCCTTGATGATCAGCTGGACCATGGGTGTATTGAACGCTGCCTCAGCGCGCAGTCCGTTGCGAGTCAGTTCATCTGACCGCTGATAGTCTTGGACTTGAGCAGGGTTATCACCGCCGTGACTGACGATGTGACTCAGCGTGTAGCCTGAGCCACCTGAAGGAGACGCCGCACTATTCGCGAGGTCTGTGACGGCCGTAATTAGTACATTGAACCCCAAGCAAGCTAAACGGGTATTCGACTGAGGCAGCTTACCGTCATTCTGATTCATAATGTCGCTTGCTCTTGTTTGGGCGATGTTGGAGCTGTGGTAATGTCAAGAGGGTCTGTCGGTCATATGGTTTTAGTATATAACCCCACCGACACGTGAATAGATACAGCACGTGCACACGCGCTTGGATCCAGCGTTTATCATTAGCTAGGGTCAGGAGAGTAATTGTATTACTATACGGGATTACGTAGGCAGCAAAGTAAAATGCACCATGACTTTTACTTGATGTGTCGAATATCGCCGTCTGATCATCACTCTCCGCGTCACAGTCTGCCAAAACAGCTCCTGTGTAGCATTTCCATAGCTCTGTATCCAAAGGAAAGGTCAAGGGGAAGAAAACCCAAGCATCCGCGTCCGGTCCGTCATGCGAATGAAACGTTCCTGAACACTGATGTGGGACACCACAGCAAATGTTGAACAGAAAAGCCATCTCCTGTTCGTATAACTGGGTCGCCACGAAATCGCGTCCCCGATATCTGGTATAGTTTACTAGATGCCACCAGAACTTTTACCATACTTGCTCACAAAATTGTTGTGGATCATAGCAAGGAAGGCCGGCGAAGGCGTGTCTTCCAACACCACGTTTGTGTCCGGCTGAATCAAATCAGCGGCGGGAACGGATATGCCATGCTTCGCTGCATACTGAACGATCTCCGACATCTTGACATCCATGTCATGGGATACATTCCGCACATGCCAAACGCAGTGCGTCATGAGCTGTGCGTTGCGACCAGCGGGGTAATGCACTACTCCGTCCCCCAGATGGTAAAGGAAGTAGTCGTGAAGAGGCCAGGTGCGGGCACTCTTGTCCAGTTTCCCTCTCGGTGACATGTTTGAAGGTACGTTCGTGGTGAAAGTATGCTCTGGTATGTCTTCCGGTCGGTTATCGTGATAGTGGTGGAAGGTCGTCCGGTGGAAGCTCTTACCTGAGCGTAGCTGACGAACATAGGCCTGGTTAAGTAAGCATAAGCTTGTATGTGTGACTTCTGGAAAGAGATTCAGTAACTCACTATTGAATCAGCGATCGCCTTTGGGGCCCAGGACTTCCGAATGCGGTCCCATAGCTCGTAGTTCACGGTCTGAAATGGAAGAAACTGATCAAGTATCAGTAAGCGCTCTTCAGATCGGAGCAGTAGACTTACAGTGAGTATTTCCTGCGCAGTCGTGACACAGTTGATCAAAGTAGGATCAACCGTTTTTGGTGGAGCCACACCCCTCAGCTCATGACGATGGTGGGAGTTGGCCGCGGGTGGAAGGCTGGCCAATGGTCTACCTTGGATCTCGAAAAAGGCACGGATCTGACCACGGGACATTGCAATGCCTGTACATCCCTGACCGGCGATATCTTGTGTGTTCCTGGAGGTGTTGCCAGCCATGTAAGCAGCAATGGGGTCTGCTAAGCCAGGCTGGGGGGCTACGCCCGTTGGAGGAATAGCTACCGGGACCACAGGCTGACTTGGAGGTGCTACTACCACTGCTGGTGCGACCGCCATCGTGTTGAGCGCCGGCTCTGGCGCAGACGCTATCGGATCATGCGTGGGGATAGCAACTTGAGCGCTCAGAGCTGGCATGAACATGTCTAAGATGCGGTCAAGCTCCCGCGACGAACAAGCTAAAAGTAGACTCTCAGAGGGTAGTGACGAGTGATGCTGAGACTGTGATCCTTCTGCCAGTGCGGAGATCTCGTGGTGGGGTCGCTTACCAGACTCATACACTTGTCCTCCTGCATTGTTGACTGCATTAGCTGTGCGAAGTACTTGAGCCCCGCTCTCAGTTTCAGAAGCTTTTCGCTTTCTCGGTCGACCCAAGGTATACTCCTCGTTGATCTTTACCCCATTTGACATTGATGTAATCTGCTCATGGTATACTTCTTGAATCTCAGCCGGTGCCATCTGCAGATAGTAGTCAGGCGTTGTAAGGAAGATATCAATCCATGCGTCGTGAAGGCGATCTTTGGATATCTTGTATAGTATCAGGTCGTCATCGTCCTGGTTCTGTCCAAGCTGCATCAACAAGTCTCTGGAGAACTCAATGACTGCCCTGACTCGCCGGCGATGATATTCGTTGCTCTGCAAAAGCCGGTCCTGCAGCAGATTTCGACGCGTGTAGTGTGCAGGTGTGTACGTCACGGCGGGATCGTTCCAAGGAAGGTCTGCAAGAAAAGGTGGTTGTTCTCGCTGGGCGCTACGGTCGACCTCGTTCGCCGTCTGCGACGTGACGCCGCGCGGGGCCGACATGGACACTACAGGTCGATTTCCATATGGGTGAGACACCATGGCATTGCCTGGGGGGTCTGGAGTGCGTGTGAGTAGGAACAAAAATCGCGATTTGGAAGCTTACTTCGGGCTCCGTTACTCGTCGTAAAACTGTCCGGCGCATCCATGTTACACAAAACTTCGTAAGAAGATGAGAAATGTTTGAGCCGAGGCTGAAAGCGCTATGCAAAGGAGAAATGAGTAGAGAGCTTTGTCAACCGGGTTGAGTTGTTCGAGAGTTCGGCGTTCGCATGAGCCCATAGGCCATCTGCTCTTGGTGGGGGTAAGAGGTCGTCCGCGCAACGCCAGAACGCTCTAATCCATTTCGGGAAGTAACTGTGAGTCGCATGCTCGAGCACAAATGACAGGTGGCGAAAATACAGAAACTTGAATGGACACATGACCGTGTCATGGAGCCTACACGAAGGCTTTGTGCTTGCCGGCATAGTGAGGGTATACGCGATAGCAAAGAATGTGCGGAGAAAGAAATGGCTTCAAAGTTGCAGTCGGTACGTGATGAATGGACGCAAGCTTGAGGCGAGGGTAAGACTTGATATGGGTATTAATCATGGAATCACAGATTCTTGCTCATGAGCCGTCGCAAACCTTATTCCTGATTACCTACTACGCTTTGATTGCTCGAGCACCGCAGCATATATCACAACGAGCAATGAGTTCCATGGTCTGATAAAGATTGTTGCGAGTGATGGTGGTCGCATGATGGATGAGCGAAGATGAGGTGGTTGCAGCTATTCGGCTGGAAGCACATGAGGCTCATCCCACGCTAAACTAGTTATGGACAGGGGCAAGCTTGGCGGCAAACTTCGCAATCAATCTTGGAATCGGCTGCCCCGCGTCCAACGCCGACAACCTTTTACTGAACGTCCGAAGGCACACTCAACAAACCTGTTTGCGCGGCTCTTGCGCCAACGACTCCCCGCTCGTCTGTCTCATCGGCGATTCCAAACTACGGGTGGTCACCGAATTTGTTCCAGTAGTCGGCCTTCATCGCCAAAAGCCTCGCGGGCGACGGCAACTGGTCCTCCACAGCTAGGTTTGTGAAGTTCATCTGCTCATGAACCGGTACTGTGATGTTGTACCGCCTCGCGTATACAGCAGCTTGACTGAGCCGAACGTGGCGATCCCCGGTGACCCTTCGAACGTGCTCGATGACACGCGTCAACGTTTGCGCTTGACGTCCAGCAGGTGGATGAGCCACACCATCACCCATGTTGTAAAGGAAGAAGTCGTGCAGTATCCTGTTCTCGCCTTTCAAGAGGCTGTCTCTGCTGACGTTGCGAAGGGAGGCGGTGGGAACGAAGTCTGGATGCTCCTCTTGCCATTCTTCAGCGGCTTTAAAATGATACGAGATCTTCGAACGACTACAGATTCCCGGTGTCTGAGTATCGTGTGCGTAGTTCTGGTGAGAATGGCATTAGCTTAGTCTTCTGTCAAAATCCAAGATTTGAAGCCACACTTACAATGTAGCGGGATATGTCCATGGGTCTCCAATGACGCATCGCCCGGACACACGTCTCGCGAGTGGATGTGCAGCTGTTTGGAAAGTACTGCCACGTTGTTAGTGATTTGCTAATGTGGTTGAATCACACGGATGTTGCACTTGCCGTAAACATCTCCTCAATCGACGTCTCAAAAGGGCAGCAGCGCATGTCAACGGATGCAGGTGTCCGGAAGTTGGTCATCTCAGTGCCATGTACTGAAAATGCAAGAGAAGGTAGTCGTTGGATGCTTTTACCCTCGATCTCCACAAATGCTCGAATACGCTCAGCACTCCACGCGGTGTTATTGTTACCCGGTGGAAGTTCACTTCCTGGTCGGAAGCCCGCGGTGATAATACCCTTTGCTTGAAGCAGCTGATGGAAAACTGGCGGAGCCGCCGGGTTTTGCTCGAAAGCAGCTGCACCGCTGCGTATAGACCGCAAAGGAAACACAGGCACTTGGGCGACAGAGTGCTGACCTTGATGAGGGCCTGGAACTAGAGCCGATGCTGGCTGCATGTTTCCCTGAGACGCCTGTTGTGCGGACTGGGCCGGTGCTAACAGTGGGCGTGCTTGAGGTACATGCTGTGTAGGATGAGCGGACGACAAGCGCTGGGGGGCGACAACGGCCGGGAACGGGAATGACTGGACGGACAAGCCTGCCGGAGCCGCAGACGACTGGCGGAGCGCATGAGGACTGGTCTCTGATAGTTTTCCCAGGAGCAGACCTTTCCTCGGCCCGGTTGTGTCTGTAATGTTACGGCGCGCCAAGTTAGGCTGACCATATCCATCTTTGAGCGTAGTCCCGTTTGAAGGGTCTCTGGCGACGTCGGGGTATGGGGTCTTTTCGGCAACTCGCGGGGTCTGTGAGTGGGTCAAGTGCTGAGAATGCGAGCAACGGGGAGCAAGTTGCTCAGATAACTCTCCTGGCGGAGACCAATCATAACTGGTGGACAGACTGGTCTCATCCTGCATGGTCCTCCCGAAGCTCGGCCAAACTCCAAAGTTGTCGACCAGGTCTTCCTCGTAGGCCGACCTTACTCCAGGCGGCGCTAAATCGAGCCATCCCTCGGCGAAGGTGAAGAAGGTTATCCATTCCTCCGCTAGACATCCGCATGGCAGCCAGTAACGGTGGCCGGCAGCCAATTCGACAGCTGTGGGTGTCGAAGAAACACAACTAGAGCTGTACTTCCAGATACTTGCTAAGAGCGGTGCGATGCTCTGGTGGTTCATGCAAAGGTCGTCGGCTTCGATCATGGCTCTCGTGAGTATTGGCTTTATCCTCGAGGTGGGAGTCTCGGCGATGAAGCCAGTCAAGGCGTTTGGGTGGAAAGCCATTGGATCACACTATACTTGATTCAGCGATGTGATAGGAACCATATCTGCCGTAACTGTTAGTCTTTGAGTTCATGTTCTCGCGAATCGTAGCGCATACAATTCTTGTTGTATCAAGATCCGTCTCTGGGCAGTTCGCCGTTCGTTCGAGCGGTGTTAGTCGCAATGACACTGCGCTACACTCGTAGAATGGGTGCGATTCTCATGCAGGAATTTGTTCGCGGCTGTAGATATCTTGAAAATGAACTAGAGGGGGCGTAGCGGGGTCTGGTCCAGATGTTGTGAGTTGCAAAGTAAAAGATATGGCTGGACACTCAGTCGAGGTCTGTGCCCCCAAACAACCCCTCCTCGTAGTGAAATGCATACGTACAGGCGGTATCTAGCTCAACAAGAGACCTCCTACGCGAAGACAGCGCTTTACTGAGGCACATCGTAGCCAAACAATGCTTGGCACCTCCTCCGCAACCAGTGGGTAGGCCCACTGAGCCGATACGTCGTCGCTACGTCCCGCCTTTCGAACCTGTTCATAAGCACGAGACCAAGGTTTCTTTAGCTGATGTCTTTTCTTGGCTGAGTCATACTGTGCCATAAGGAAAGTTCGTCGCAGATGTGGTCAAAATCCTGTGCCTGATGAAACTCGGAGATCCATGCTCTAGATACATCATTCTCTTCGTTCAAGGGGGTACGTCTATATAGAATGTGACTACTGACCAACTATATCTCCTGATGTCTTTGGGGTTCATTTCTACTGCTCGTTATCTTATACCCTCTAGCGTCACAGGCCGTGTACTCACTTGACCAGCAGAGTCTGAGCATCTAAAACTTCGCATACGTAAAGCTATCTTCCGCACCTCCGTGATCGCCTATTGGTCGCTTGCGTCTCATATAACGGGGTATCCTTTTCAGGCGCGCCGAGAGCGCGCTAGGCAATTGTTTGATCTCGAGGCGACTTTGGAGCACAGACAGCGTCACCGGATCATTCTTCGATTTACAAAGAGGCCGAACGTTAGTCTCGTATGTGATCTCCTCTTCTTACCACCCAAGAGACTGCATAGGCAAGTCAATTGTGATAATTTACACGTCGTCAACAGCGCTCGCGACAGACTCGCCTTTTCAATACTCGGCAACCAAAATGCAAAGCGTCATGTCTACCTCCAACTGCCATTCAAGGCCTATCATCAGCATAGATCAAGCGCCGACTCGCGACACAGCAAGTCCACCCGGTATGATACAGAGGTACCATACTCGTCCGCCCTACATTTCTAACACTGTCCAGAAGTAACGGGCCCCAACACCAAGTACTTGGCACAGGCTATAGGCCATGACGTCCTCGCCGCGTGTGGTGTTGGCGCGTTCTCTCCACCTGTGTCAACATCGCCAATCTTCCACGCCACCTGTCCGGCCGGAACAAAAGAGCTCCAGCGTGCCCCTCTCATCGACGAATGCATCAAACGCCTGCAAGACGAGAAGAAGGATAGTGTGAAGGCTTCTCCAAGCTTCAACACGACAGAGATCCGGGGTCTGGCCAACAACAAAATCGGATTCGTCTCCGTGATGCGGCTCTCCACAGTCCAGACACTCCTCGCCCGCTATGTGTTCATGAACGACCTCGCAGCCCTTGCCAATGCATGCTCGGCCATTGGAGGTTCCCTGAACCTGGGAGATGAACATAGCAGGAAGATGTTCGAGGGTTTGACGAAGAACAATCGGGAGGCACTTGAGAGCTTGCGTGGACCGCGCACGAAGCGGAATCTCGACGGTGGTGAAGAGACTGTGTATGCACCATCATGGCGCCCTCGGTCGCGAGAACGGAAGAGGCTCAAAGCTTTTGCCTCGGTTTCCATACATGACTAGAGACTTGCGCGTCTTTTCTCGTATAGTAACAACTTGATCCAGGGGGCGTGACGCAGAAGCGTAAAAGTTTATAGCGACTTGGTGTATAGTCGGGCATTCGGAAAAGTTTCTCATCCCATCTCTCCTTACGCGAGCTGCCGAGATGTCAAAGCCGACCCTCAGTGACCAAGGAACGTGATGATAGGGACGCGTGCCGTGCTGAAGTTTGCCAAATCGTGCTACAAACTTCGCGACTCGCTTGTCTTTCCCAGTACGCAGACTACCCGCAACAGCCTCTACACAACGTTACTGTTCCTTTAGCTGCTAATGAAACAATGATTATTCGAAACTAATGTGTACTTCCTTTATCCACTAAGAGCTCGTTGTGATCAAAGCAGAAACTCGGGCATCTTCTCAAATCGATGAATATGGTTTGCTAGACCTGACGCTCATGAGTACTGCACATTAAAACGGCGATGTAGGTCATCGCAATGGCCGTAAGGGCCGAAGTATTGATGGGCGGACGACTTGAGCGCCTTATAAACATGCATGCTTCGCAAACGGTGGAGCCGTAAGATCGTCCAACTCGCGTGTCCTCGTGCTTCACGTAGCGTCAAGTACGCATGAGATTCTAGAGGCTGCACTCAGAGGCTGGTAAGGCATTTCGTCATGTGCAACATGCCATACTCGTCTCCAGGGGTAAAAAGTCAGCAGCCGAAACATTATAATTCACTGTCGAGAAGATTAGCAGAGACCACACGGACCCCAGATAGATTGTCCGCATACTTACCTCCACTCGCACTGGGGAACAGCATCTCATGTCAGTCGCAACAATGGAGGGTACAAGGCGGGTATCGTATCCCCCAATCCAAGGCCCTACGCTGGACGCTCCCTCAATCAAGGTATCGTAGAAATGGCCGGAGACATTTTGCAGACACTGACAACATATCCAGGACAATACAGCCCCCCCGAGCGTTGCACGCGAACCGCCGGATGCCCGCCGCAGTCCCTCCCCGCAGCCTTCCGAGGACGGTCTCTTTACGAAAAGCTACTACGAGGGCCTCGCTGAACGCTGGGGAGTCACGGTAGCCGAGTTCAATTATCGAGAAGACAGACCACGGTTTTGGCTGCGCGACTTAGATCGCACTGGCCTTGACCACGATGAATGGTCACTCTCGCGATGGGCGCTGGCGTACTACGATAAATATCCCGACGAGATGGAGGACGAACGGACGCGCAACCATTACGAGCGTGGTACAGGAAAGCCGAGGGTGAAGCCGTTCGTGGACATCAAGGAAGTGACGCCACTTGTGAGAGGTAGCGACGGGAACTTCAAGCCGGCTACCAACTGGCAAGAGGTACCTGATGAGCCTACAGTCGACCTCGGCGGTCCGTCACACTGGTATACCAAAGCACCAAAGCCGCGGAGTAATTGGCTCGAGACGCTCAGTCGAACACCCAACACGACAGGGCCACAGCGTCCTCAGCCTCGTGCACGCCCCGATCGCAAGGTCCACCGTCTTCAGGCCCCGCATGGCCACCAGTATCAACCTGTCGATGAGCCCTCAAGCAGCAGCTCTGAACTGGGAACCGGACTTCCTGGGGTCGACGAGGGCTTCGCAGCGCCAACGGGCGTTGGAGACGCCGGCTTCTCACTAGCCGCGGAGGGTGCATGGCCGATAGAACTTGACGACTATTTCGCTGAAGGTTTCGAGGAGCGCCTCGTAGATGTTGATGGAGACGATTTCGAATATCATCTCGGAGACGGTTTGAAAGACGACCTTGAAGACGAAGGCAGCGAAGATTTTCCCATCAAACCTCAAGACATTTTGGAAGATGACGATGAAGATGGTATTGCGGACGGTGTTCAGGACAGTGCTGAAGGCGCTGCTGAAGACAGCATCGAAGACGCTCCCCAAGCCAACCCCAAAGACGATCCTATCCATGGCCTCGACGACACCTCCATGCTGAGCGACATGTCAGCGCCTGACGAAGACCTCGCACTACAGATGTACCGTGAAGACCTCGAAAAGCTCCGTTCGCACTTGATCAAGGAGTCAAGAGACAGTCTTTGGCGTTCTTTCTCCTTCGACACCAGAGAAGAATACGAGACAGCGCTTCCACTTTACAACAAAGGGCTACCGAAACTCGGCAACAAAGAAGCTGAGGTGGTGAGTCTAGAGGATGCGATGAAGGCACGAAGGGACTATGACGAGTATCTCCGCAAGCATGTGCCGAAGCCTGCAGACAAAACGAAGGAGCCTTCGCCTTCGACGGTACGTAGACAGCCGAGGCGGTCCACCAGGAACAGGTAGGAGGAAGTCTTGTTGGCCTAGAGGACATGTAGAGTATGTGGCCAGATTTCGGGAGCTAGGACAAGTGTTGATTTCTTGGTCGCATTGTGTCCAGTGCGATGTTGGCAGAAGTCTGAGATGTGGCGTTGAAGTTTGTATCGGGATGTATGATGTACAGGCACTACACGCTTGTTGCTTGACACAAGATAGTTTGTTAGCATCTTCTAGTAAAAACCAACAAGCCGGCGATCGTACTTGATATGAGTGTTTCCCAATCCGTTCCGTCATCTCCTTCCTCGATCAAAGTAATGAGTGCATAGTAGCCCCCGACGCTAGGTCGCGGGGATGACGTTGACGTCTCTCGTAGGTCTGGCGCCGCATAGAGGTCTGTAAACGAACGCTTTGGAGCTGACTCGGTGGACCTGGGTCACCAGAGCTCTGGAAGTCTGGCCTGACTTGAGATGACCGATGCGTTTGAAACTCGCGTATATATTCACTTCCCATTACCCCACATTGAGGCTTCGCTCAACCACGACGCTGGATCACCGCATCACTTCCTCCAATCTTCTTCAGAGTCCTTCAACCCTATATCCCGACGACGTCTTCATTGCGCTATTACCTGCAACAAGCTCCGCGATGCGTCCTCAAAATTCCAAGAACGAAGACAGCTCGCCGCGTGCTTCGCGTGTGCCTTCAAGCAGCCGACAGGAGCCCGAAAACATGCTTGAAGAGGGCCGCGAGGCGACCAGCGGGTATGAAGGCGACGAAGAAAGCGAGGGCGACATGACCGCCGCTCCAGGACCTGTACTCAGGTATCGCCGACGAGTGGACGATCCACCAACGCCGCTCCGAGCACCTCGAGTGCAAACACCTTCTCGTCCACAAGATCCGCAAACACCACCACGCGGTACATCTCGAGGCCTCGAAAGCGACTTGGCTCGGGCCGGCGAAGTCTTGCGAGATCAGACCAGGAACGAGTACCACAGGCGCCGTTCCGACGCTCAAGAGAACCATGCGGCGCACAGAAATACAGAGACGTCATCCGCGGTCGCTCAGGCTCAAGCTGGAGTCGGCAACAGGTTTGGAGCTGGTGGCCAAATTCCGCCTCGAGGGTTGTTTACACCGGTACTGCGTAGAAACGCTGTTCAACAGCTAGGCATTCCCCCATCCAACCCTTTCGGTTACGGTGTCGGCTCCTTTCCGCAACTGCCTCCTCAGACGACGCAGACGATTGGTGACAACTCTGCTTCCGGAGGATTTGGGTCTTCGATGGCGGCCATGACTCCTTTTCACCGGCAAGCGAATCAGGCAGCTTTCGAGCGGCAAGTCGCGCGCCAGGAGGCTTCACCCGAACCGGATCTCCCTCGTCCTCGCCGAAGGCCTGCTGGCTCACATCCTGCGCATTTCCAGACCCCAGCCCGGCCTTCTCCCCATCAGCAGCCAGGTCAACAGTCTACAAGATCGCCTGCGCAACCGTCTTCAAGGTCACAGGGCCCGGAACGATCGACAGGGTCCCCTTCGCGGCGAAGGCTGGAGAACACCGAAGATCAAGACGGAGAGAACATGAAGTAGGGCAGACAGGCAGGAGAGTACGGGGAGACAATAGTGGCGCACCTTGATAGCGAACTGAAAGGGCGGTGCGAACGACGGGTAAGGATGAAGTTGACGCTGAAGCTTGGCTCCAGGTAGAGAAGACATTGTACCCACTCATGTGGCAATAGCAGCGCCAGAAATATATGTGGCAGACATGGGTATCCTCGGTAACATAAATGGTATGTGAGATCAGGTGTGTAGCCTGTTATGCGCACTGTCGACGCCCAAAGATCTCGCACTGTGCTATGATGTGACTTTCGAGGTGATTGGATGTTGACAACATTGCTGTGAACCGATAGAAGCATGCCATGACTTATGAATCGAATAGTCTGCTATCGTCAGCCCATCTAATCGTACATCAAGTATTAGACTCCTTTGGTGTGGCAAATGCCGTGGCGCTCCGCCCCTGACGACTCTCCGGGGAGCACTGACCTTCTTCGACAAACCCGAGATTATGACCGCTTACGTGCCTTACCCTCGATAGGACTGCCCGTCAACGCGAGTATCTGAGGAAACCTCGACATTACATAGGCCACCCTTACTGCCTTTGCCCCGCGGTCGATATTCATGGCGGACCACCAATGAACTCCTGTCGCGAACTCTTTCTTTGGCGTCTCGATCCTGACTGCTGTATGCGCAAACACGATCGCCTATCCCACCATGAGCTTTGAGCTTACTGTCGTATCGCATTCCACGTCCCTCGAGCTTCGTAACCCACCGAGAACGTGAGTCGCAGCCGCGCGAGCTTCTCGCAACGAACAAACTTCATCCCCACCACAGCGCAACGGCGGACTCAATATCGTCGTCAGGTCGTCGTATGCCACCACATGTGCGTAGTAGAACACGCGATGAAGATGAGGATGGAAGAAGAACAAAGACGCGAAGGGGGATGATGACGTTGGCGCGGCTGCCGAGCCCGAGCCATCTCCGCAAGCATCCTCGGCGGCCAGCGGGGCCGCTTCCTTCGCCAGACTACGCCTCCTACTTTGACACTCCTCACCCATCAGCCGACTACGCAACACGCATCAACAAAGATACACCTGAAACGCTGTCTTCTCTAGCGACTTCATACAGCGAGCTGATGGCGATGGCTTCCGCAACGGACTAGCGACGCGCTCGCGCATGCGCACGGCACTAGTCTTCGCTGAGCCATACATGACTCTAAACCATAACGACGTCGTCTTCCTGGATAGCTCTTGTCACGGCAGAAAATCAGGCTCAGATGGGATATATCCTATGAGTGGCTTCTCGCGTCCTTGAGACGCGTCACATACCCATCATTATTCCTGTGGCCTCGCACTTTCTAACAGCAATTCTCGGCAAACGCTGCAGTACCAGGCAAGCGCGCTACTGCCGAAAATCGTTTCTCAGGACACCAGACCACAGTGGCATAGAAAGAGCTTGGATCTGGGGTTTCACAGCCCCGAAGGGCCAACACTCTTCGGAAAGCTTCTCTGACGTCTTCATAATCACGCCCAATGGACGAAGCACCGCATACTCGCACGTGGCTCGCCATCGCCAGAGTCCCTTCGTCATAAACCTGTTCAAAGGGGTGTGATTTGGGTATTTGTAGACTATAGGGCTCTGCACCTTCTGGACACCCACCTCGCCACGTAAGACCTGGATACTACCCTCATGAGCTGCCTTGCGAAGACTTTCGGGATGGCCATGCATAAACGCTGCCGAATCCACATTTCGAACGGCTTGGTCCGTCTATCGAATCGTATCATGAGGATGAAGAGGCTGCAATGCCGTCTTCTCGGACTTTTGAAACACTCCACTTCGCTGTCGCAAGCGATATTCTCTTGGACATGAACATCAGGTCTTAAGATCGCATGAAAGGGATCATATAGGGATACACCTGTTCAGCTTGCCAAAGATGTCCACCGACGGGCCCTCAGTAGAGACTGCTCTGTTACAGCTGATTTACACCGTCACGATCTCGACTGGCATGTTTCCCAGTAGACGGCCATGGAGGCCATTCTACCTCAGCTCATCAGAGTTGAGACAATGACGTCATCACAATCCAGCTCTCTTGGTCATGGGCAAACTTCGCTGTCGGTCTTTGTGCACGACGACGATTGGTATCGATCAGAGACGCTTGCGGCGTATGGCATAACGGGTGTCGTCCGATCCATTCGGTTACCGCTACCAAATCGTGGGGAGCAAGGAGGCAATTGTCATGTCTTTCGAGGAAGACACCATGCAGCTTCAGAAAGCCTAACTGCATTGCGCATTGGCATGACCTACCCAAGCTTTTGGCGGCGCCCTACTCTAAGCACTAGCTGAACGTTTCCCGGCGCCTGGAAACCCGTCGTCTCATGTGTCAGAGATGATCGACTTGCACTTGGCACGCACATCTGCTCTACTATCCTTCCTGACTCCCAGCATGCTCCAGGATCTTATGGAGACGCCTTAGCCCTTTCGTTGCATAGGCTCTTGACCTCCAGCCTTGCTTGTTTGCAGGGGGGTGGTGCCAGGCCTCTTGAGCGCACCAGCGTGTATGCACTCAACCGAAGAAGCGCCCCTCCCACGGGTATTCGGAAGCCGCAACGCGGGTTGCTCATAGACAATGTCGATGCGAAGATGCTTCCCCCTTGGTGCTCTCCGTGCATCCTTGGACTTTGGTCTCGCATCCGATCCGCACATGGGCTGCCGAGCCCCGTGCTCAGCGGTAATGGGAGGCTCGGTTTACCATCTTCGAACACAAAGCGCTCGCCCGTCTAGACCTTCTGTTTCGTCGGGGTCGTCGTGTTCTGGGGGTTTGCCGGACCGGGAAGGGCTATCGTCGATGCCGCGAGCGACTGTCGGGACAGCTTAATGGCCTCCGCAGCCCGGTTTCTGCTAGGACGCGTCGTCAGTGATGTGCATCCAGGGGTCCGGTGGGAGCTGTGTCCTCAACTTGTACAGCTCAACGACAAGCTGACATGCAGTCGCTGCGCCTGTGACATCCTTAAGACGACCGACAGCTCCTGCCCTTGTTCGCCATCGGATGTGCGTGAGCTCGTCGACATCAGCCCTGTCGGGGCTTGCGGGGGTGGTGGTGCACTACCGGGTCTTGGAGGAGGCCAGCATGGGGATGCTTGGCCTTGTGATGGGCGTGCTTGAGCGTATTGAAGGGATGTATGAGCATTAGCAGAGGCTTCTCGTCGTCGGTGTCAAGCCGCTACCGTCTTACGAGTGGTACTGGTGCTTTTTTTCGTTGACTTGGAAGTCAGTGAAGGGACAGAGGACGCTGAGGCTAAGCGAGAGCTCCGACTCCTCCTGCCTATATCAGCTCCCCCACCAACGCCAACGCCCGCTCTCTCGCTCCCTGAACGTCGCGATTGGAATTGATACTGCAGGGCTACACTTTCTCGCTCTCGAATCTCCCCTGCATTCCGATACGATGGCCGCCGACGACAGCCACAAGGCCCAGACCAAGTGCGTCACTCCAGATATCAACAAGGAGTACGGCCACCCCGACGGCAACGCTGGCAGTGATGTACAAGTCAAGGACAACGGTCAGGCGGGTGACGACGACGAGGGCAACGGCGAGCAATCCGGTGATGTCGACATGGACAGCCACAGTAAGAACTCCGAGCACACTTGTCCATTGTCCAACAGCTACGGATCTCTAACGCAGCAACTGCAGATACCGACTCATACGGAGCGTACATCAAGAAGTCTAAGGAGCTCAAGAGCCAGATGCGAATGCATTTCAGCAACGGCAACATGGCGCAGTTTGATCGCGTCCAGCGGGAATTCCGCGAACATGACTTGCTTGGTGAAGTGGAGGCCGAATTGCTTGATCTGAACACTGCAGCAGCATTGATCGCTCTCAGCCGCAGCAGTACTGATTATCAACACGTTCATCGCCGCCACGCTGCCCAGGTCCTACCTCAGCCGTCTACCCAAGTTCTTCCTCAGCTGTCTGCTCAACCCTTCTACGCACACTTTTTCCCTTGGAATAACGCTGCCGGCGGCCGGTCAACTTCTGGACCGACCAGTACCGCTGCGACAGATCAAGTGGATTCTGCGGCCCAACACGGTTCGACCGCATCATCAGTCGCAGTACAACTTGTGGCTCCTGTCCGTCCGGCTCGTGTTCTTGCGGTTCCACAAGCCTCGCCGCCAACAACCCTCAATCTCCTCCCCACTCTGCCTTTGGAGCCTTACGCCGACAACGATACCTTGGGAAAAAGCGGTGGCGGGAAGGGCTTAAAAGGCAAGAACGAGGCTCTCTATCGCACCGCGCCACCCCCGAATTTGGACTACAATTTGCTCGATTTCGAAATCACTCTTCTGGAGATGGCGGCGGTAAGCTTCCTTGCTTCCTTTTCATTATTCTAGTCTGCTCTTACTGATCTGTGACCATACAGTACACTCCACTAGCATACCTGTTGAGAGGTTTCCTCGCTCGTGTCCGCGCCTGCACAACCTGGATCGTCATGGCTAGGATGATAGTAAGTAAATCCACATCTTGAACAAGAAACAATACGCTGACTTGACTAGCTTTGGGCTAGAAATCTTGACAATGACCCTGACCTGGTCAATAAGGTCGAAAACCTCCGCTGTACGATGCAGCAACAGGGTGCAAAGCCTACCGACGCCGATCCTACCAGTGCCGATAAATCTGCTTCCTCCTGGGACCGTGAAAAGAAGTTCTTCACCAAGGCCTCACGGACCCTGACGGAAGATGTATCTCTACTTCGGCTTAGCCACAGTGTTGTGCGCCACCCTCAAGGTCAACATCGTGGTCGTCTCACCATCGCCATCGAACATGCAACGTTGCATGGTCATCAGCACGTCATGCTCAGCCAGGTGGAACAGTACATTCAGGCTTTCCGTCTGAATGTACCTGGACCTCTCGCTGCGGGTGCCGACTTGGCAGCTGTCAACGACTTCCTGGTTACGTGGGCGTTGCGGCATCCACCTACATGAGAGCCTCGAAGGCTATGTGGGTATACCACAGTACGACTTACCGAAGACATGTGTCTTTGGAGTTCATACATCACGGTCGGCCACAGCATTGCAGGCGTTGCATCGTATTGCGGTGTTCACGAAAGGAGGTGCAGTTGAGTTTGTATGCATGGACAAGGCGTTTGAGGTTCAGGCTATCAACGAGCTGAGCCTCGTGGTCAGCAATAGCATATCCAACGGCGTTCTATCCCCCCTTTCCCGTCATGGTCGTAGTTAGTGCACAGAATTGGAAAGTTTATTTGAAATGACATCTCGATCATGGCGCGACGGCCTCGGGACTACTCGTGTGGAAGTCAGCTTACTTTGACACTAGTGAACGTGGTCGACAGGATATGTGCGTATGCCCGGAAAAGATCCCGAGCGAAGAAGAATAGAAGCTGGTGGTGAAAGTGGGATCATCGGTGGTGGTCACGGTAGTTGAATGTGGAGGCGCGTCATCCATTTTGGGTTAGCGCGTCTTTCTCTTCGTTCTTTCATCGAACAGCGAACATGACGCGGCAACGCATTGCAAACAATCTTCTCCACTCCAGTCCATTATACCTACTCACTCTCTTCCTGATATGAGTTCAGGTATCGTTCTTCATTACTGTAGTGGCATCGCGCTCCTGCCTCATGGCCTGAAAATGCAGGACGCAAGTAGCGCTGACATCATAGCATGGGCCTATTGATGTGGAAGGCCCTATGGATTCCGCTCATTTTACTTTCCAGTAGTGCCCTTATATCTCCGCAGGCTTTACGCATCATACTCATCAAAAAAGCTAGATAAGCGTCTGTTGTAGCTGTGCCGCACAACGCCAACTGCGGCGAAGCAACCACGCCGCATTCGCGTTAAGATGCGCACGTATATCTGGCGAGGCAGTCTTGACGCGTTGCATGCACACAGTATGGCTCTTGCTCACGAACACGGTAGATACTCCCCGCAACCAACGACTTGTGAGAGCGCTCAGTCATACTCGTCTTTAGGAACGATGAGTCTGGTCGCAGTTCACAGCAAGTCAGTCAAGGAATCGCCATCGTCATCTTGCAGGAACTGCATCAATACAGAGATAAGCTTCACGGAGGATTGCAGGATCCCGGGGAAGTGCTAACGGTGCTGTGCCGCACGCAATGCCGGCGATAAACCAACAACTATCATGCACGAACCGACCAGCTCGCGTAGACATATCCACATGTCGTTAACTGTCCGTCACTTGACAGGTCACTCGAAGAAACTAGTAATGAAAGTTTGCCTCCAACTGCAGACAACACGCGTACTATGTATGTCACTATCCACGTTCGCAGCTCAACCAACACCATGCGGTCCGAAGTAAGTGCTGACAGCACGACTTCACCCGGTGGATTCTCCATCGGCGCAATCGCGGGACGACATGTAACGAAACTCGCTCCTCCCATCCTCCGCATGAACATGGGAAATAGCCAACTATTAACAACATACGCGGCGCGGGAGGTGACGAGCGATCCATCGTTTGTTTCCAACAGACGTGCGACGTTGAGACCGTTTCAAGGAGTGTGAGCAGGGTGGGTCATCGCAAAAACAAACGCAGCCAGACCCAACAAACAGCCTTGCCTACGCTCGTTCTTTCGCAGGAACAACAGGTTCGCTGACTCTTTGGGAGCGCGGGCCTCAGGCTTTCTGGCAACGTTTGGTCTAGCCTTTCCGCATGAAGACGGCGTGGTTTCAGACCTTCATGCAGCGAGCAGCGCCTTACGCCGCATTTGCTGCGCGCTGTTGGTTGGTCTTGCGCGACGCGGATTGTTGTGGTTGGACAAGAGCCGCGAAAATCCAACATGGAAAACACAAATCGTCGCCCTGTGAAACTGCGGATAAACTTACGCCTTGCTACAAATGTCCCGTTTTGCGGCAGTGACAGACCGGGGATACTTTTTGGTGGCGGACATTCGGTGCCCCGCGCTGCGCTGCGTCTGCGTGGTGCCCCTGGCCATCATCTTACGGCGTCGGACCCTTGGCGTGGAGATACCTTGCAGTGCCTGCCCCCCTGGGTAACGTATGATTGCGGTCACGGCAGGATGATGGATCGGCATAAACATATACGCCTCTGCATCCCCTTGGTGCCATTTTCTTGTCATACAAACATTGTTTCTCTCATATAACGGCTTTATTCGCTTCTTAACTAATATCCATTAACCACCGGTGGCGATCGCATATAATCATTCACACGCTTCCTTTCTCTCTTGAATCGAGACTACCATCTCCAACACACACACGCCTTACAACAACCGTCTTTCGTCATCAACATGTCCTACCCACCACTCTCGCCTACCGGCCTCCCCAGCTCCCCACGAGCAAACCGCCAAATGCAAATGCTTTCTCCGCTCGACACATCCTTCTCGGCCAACTCATCGCAAACAAACTCGCCTTATTCAAGCACTTCGGAAAAGGATCCGCGCAAACCTCGCGACATCTTCGCCGACGCTACCATCCCTCTCAGCCCAGCATCAACAACAGCCTCGCACTCCAAAGAGAACCCCTACGAGGGTCTTGAACCGCGGAAGCGCAGCGGCCTCGCACGTCTGTTCTGCTGTCTCGGTCGCGAAGAGCGCGCACGGCGCCGTGTGAACAGGAGCTTGGAGTTTGAAAAGGTTGGCGAGCAGTGCCATTGGTCTGAGTACTAAGCCATGGCATCGCCGATAACACACTCGATGGCGTTGATGCTGTACTGCAAGAGGTCGTCTAAAGTCCGGTCGGACACCGATCCGTGACATGAAACGCGACAGCACGGAAGACCACCCCACCGAATCTTCAAACATCTGACAGCCCCGGACGCACACATACCGAGCGAACAATCCCCCGGTCGGTGTCCGAAAGTCCGTACTTTCCTGCGATGCGATGCGAAAGTCTAATCGCATTGCTCAAACACCTTTTCGATACAACGTGTCGAATTTTATACCCCGTCACTGCGACGTTTCTTATGTTTATATTCACAACACACTTTCCTCGGACTGGAGTCTTTCCGGTTTCTTCGCTTGGGGCAATGCTGGTGTCTGGATAGACGAGCAATTGCAGGGGTTCTTTGGGAAGCGCTGGTGTTGGGGTTGTTCTGCTCTACATCGCTCTTAGGAAGAGAGATCAACGCGTCTTTGAGATAGGAATAGACAGAAAGAGATGTTACTGTCGAAGACAACAATGAAAATACGTCATTACCATCATGCCATATCCATCCTGAGCTCACCTTTCACTTTCTCACAACCACTCCGTGAACATATCCCTCAACTGCTATGCCTCCCTCCCAACCACCCACCACATCACGTGCCTATTCCCCCCTAACTCCCTCCCATACCAACGCAACACCCTTCTCCCCGCCGAATTCATACTCCCTCTATCCTCTAGCCCTCTATCCTCAATCTCATACACCCCCTCTAGTAACGCATCTACCGCGTCCCCAGCCAAATTCTTCTCAGCCAGCACCTCCTTCCCGATCTTCCCAAACACAGCCCTCAAAGCCTCCTCGGAACTTATAGCCCGATATCTAGATGTAAGCGGATAGACCGCGTAGGAAGGCCTTTCTTACGCCACCACTACAGTCCTCATTACCTCCACGAGATCAGTCAAGGCCAGCATCCAAGACCTATTTTACGTTTTTCACAGCGCGGGCAAAACGGGTTTCTAATTTTGAGCAAGTATAGCGACAAGAATATCATCCATGAAAGTATTCTGTTGGAGAATGGTATAAGGAATACCGGATTCCATGACCCATTCCTTGCCGTGCGGCTTACAATCGTGGTTCAACATTACCTAGGTATGCTCAACTGGCTGTTCGGCACGCTGTGTCATCAACAACTTAGGGTAAGCTGTGCAGTTATTGACGATGTTGTGCCCTTCATGAACTGCTCGGAGCACCCTATGCTGCTTCATCATGCGGAGGACTGACTTTCCTTAGTTTGCGGTGCAGACGAATGTTCTTTCATCCAACTTACCTAGGTAGTCATGGTCGTTTCTCTAACGACTACCCCGAGGCGCATCCAGCGTCGACGCCAAGGAGCGAGATGGAGACACCGACGTCTTCGTACGAACTGTGGCCCCGTGGCCCCGTGCCCAGACCGAGCCTCATCCATCACATGACCAAATGAGGCTCATCATAGCCTTGCGCGCTTGCAAGCTCGGTCGAGGAATCCCTTCCTCGGCTCCTGGGCTGTGGGTGTGAAATTGCCGGCTCGTCGCGTCCGTGTTTAGTGGGGACACTGCCGCGGGGCACCCCAGAATCGCGATGTGTACACCTCGGAAACATGGCATTTCGCAAACAGGCTGAGAAGGAAGGAAGCTGCAGTCTTGGTGTCTTGGGACGAATTTAGCAGAGCCATATAAGATAGTCGCTCGTTGCATCCATCCGGGCAAGCGGCCGTCAGACTGCAAACATCACGTCACCGGCATCAGCGAAACCTTAGTCCGACAACCTCGGCTTGTTCCATTCACAGCTCCACCCCGGTCATCGCAGCCAGCGCGTGCTCATTTGGCCTCGGATCTACTGAAAGCTAGGACTTCTGATATCATCTCCTGTAATTTCTTCCCTGGTTACTTCACCTATCTTTCTTTGTGATGTTCAGCAGAGCTGCACGCGCGCGAGTACCCGCCTCCGCCTCGATACTTCGCAGACCACTTTTGAACCAGCCCGCTTTTGCGAAGCCTAGAGTATGTTGTCGCGTGGAGGATCGAGTCTTGGTGGGGAGGAGATGCTGACCACTGGCGCGTGTAGATTGTCGCAATGGCTCCAGCACGGAAACAGTCGAGTTTGCCAGCGGGTAAGTGGATGCGCTTCTTTCACATGCTTGGGATGGTTCAGAACTAATCACGAGGTCTGCGCAGGTTACAAGGAGGACCACAGCAAAGGTGCCATGCTGCGCTTCGAAGACTCCCTTCCGCGACTCCCCGTCCCCACCTTAGAGGAGACCGCCAAGCGATACCTCAAGTCCGTTCACCCGCTCCTCTCCCAAAACGAGTTCGACGCGACTACAAAGGCTGTCAATGAGTTCGTGGCTCCTGGCGGGCCTGGAGAGAAGCTCCAAAAGCGCTTGGTGGAGCGGAGAGAGGACCCCAAGCACAGGAACTGGATCTACGAGTGGTGGAACGATGCCGCGTACATGGCCTACCGCGACCCCGTTGTGCCATACGTCAGCTACTTCTACTCGCACCGCGATGACAGGAAGAGGCGAAACCCAGCAAAGCGCGCTGCAGCTCTCTCAACAGCTGTGCTCGAGTTCAAGAAGATGGTTGATGAGTGCAGCCTGGAGCCTGAGTACATGAAGAAGCTCCCCATGGCCATGAGTTCCTACGAGCACATGTTCAACTGCTGCCGTGTACCCAAGAAGCCATCCGACACCAGCACGAAGTACCCTTACAAGGAGAACCCGCACATCATTGCGATAAGGAAGAACCAGTTCTGGAAGATCCCCCACGAGATCAACGGAAAGCAGCTCAACACCAGCGAGCTCGAGCTCCAGTTCCAGCGCGTATATGAGAAGGCTGAGAAAGCGCCCGCAGTCGGTATTCTCACATCCCAGAACCGTGATGTGTGGTCAGACGTCTACCCCAAGCTCAAGGCTGCCTCTGCCAACAACGCCGCATCCCTTCAAGACATTGAAGCCGCCTCCTTTGTCGTTTGCCTCGACGACGCATCTCCCGTCACTCTCGAAGAGCGCGCACACCAGTACTGGCACGGCGATGGCGCGAACCGCTGGTTCGACAAGCCCCTCCAGTTCATCGTCAACGAGAACGGCACATCTGGCTTCATGGGCGAGCACTCCATGATGGACGGCACACCCACCCACCGCCTCAACGACTACGCGAACCAGCAAATCTTCACCAACGCCCTCCCCTTCGACGACCCCAACGTCCGCTCCGACCTGCCCAACCCGAAACCCCTCCGCTTCGAGATCAACGCGGAGCTCCAGCAAGACATCGCCGACGCCCAATCCCACTTCTCCCGCCAAATCGGCGCACACGAGCTCAGAGTGCAAGCCTACCAAGGCTACGGCAAAGGCCTAATCAAGAAGTTCAAGTGCAGCCCCGACGCCTACGTCCAAATGATCATCCAGCTCGCCTACCACAAGTTCTACGGCAAGAACCGACCCACGTACGAGTCCGCGGCGACCCGCCGCTTCCAACAAGGCCGAACAGAAACCTGCAGAACCGTCTCCGACGAATCCGTCGCGTTCTGCAACGCCATGGCCGACGCCGATGCTACACCCGAGGAGTGCGCGAAGAAGTTGCGAGCCGCACTCGACGCACACGTCAAGTACATCTCCGACGCCAGCGACGGCCGCGGTGTAGACCGCCACCTCTTCGGCCTGAAGAAGTGCCTCAAAGAGGGCGAGGAGGTACCTGCTCTGTACCAAGACCCAGCCTACACCTACAGCTCCACATGGTTCATTTCGAGTTCTCAGCTGTCGAGCGAGTACTTCAATGGCTATGGGTGGTCGCAGGTCATCGACGATGGATGGGGTATTGCGTATATGATTAACGAGAATAGCATCCAGTTCAATGTTTGCTCTAAGGGTCTTGGTTCGGTAAGTCGTGTCGATATGGAATATGAGGGGATGAAGGCTAACAACACACAGGAGAAGATGAGCTTTTACCTCAATGAGGCGGCGGGTGATATGAGGGATATTATGCTGCCTACTCTTGATGCGGCGAAGGCGAAGTTGTAGATGGGGGTTGGAGATGGGGGTTCTAGGAGGGTTGATATAGATCTCTTGATATACCAATCAATATTACATCTTCTTCACCATATGTTTTGTGCTGAGATGTTCACCCGATCTCTGATCATCCACCCTCATGATGCTGACTCTGACATGGCTGAAACCTGTCGAGATTCAATCTTAATCGGTTTCCGGACCGTGGGGGCATCTTGTGCATGTCCCAGGGCGAGGTGTTGATGATTAAATTGAGTTGTCGTGTTGATCCTCGAGCGTGGGATATGCACGAATGACATCAGCCTCACACCGCTAGCTCGCATCCCGCGTGCCCAGGTGAGCTTGGTGAAGCTTCCCCCACAACTCAATTGCTCCCGCTGCAATGGAATATTGCGCGTCCGAACCTTCTTCAGACGGCAGCCGCGTTCCATAATGCCGAACCGATTTTAGCCCTTGCACTTCCCACCAGGAATGTCTATGACTCTATTCAATTAGCAGTCACACATCCAGCTCTTCACACGATCGAGGAGTCATTTCAGCACCAGCCAGCGCAGACCCTGTAGCAGAGTCCTGCCATACAGTACCATGGCGCAAGTTCAGCGACCGCTTATCATACAGTCGCAGATGATACGACTATGCTGCCCGCGCACGGCGAGAAGAACAAGCAGCGCGCTGTTCGCAAGAGGAAGCTACTACCGAAAGCTGCACACCAAGACGGTTACCGACAACGACATTTCGCATCTGGCGAGCTTACCATTACACCCGTTGACACTGGCCGATCTCGTCAAGTGAGTGTTGTCAGACCTGTCTTTCCCAATGCATCTGCCGAGGACCCTGGCTAACGCTGTCGCGTGCGCAACAGACACGGAAGACCGCCGCTGACGACCCAACAACTCCTCACGTCGGCAAACTTCACCCTCTCCATCCTCCCCGCCCGCCTCGCGCACCGCATACAATCGCTCCGCAACCTCCCGTTCATCGTCGTTTCCAATCCTCATGTCTCCAAGATCCACTCGAATTACATGCACAGCCTGTCGACGCTGCTACCATGGGCTGAGCAGGAGATAAAGACGCTGGAGGAGGAAGTCAAGTTCACCGAGGTCATGGCGGATCTGGTACAAACACATGCCAATACGATTAGCATACTGGCGAGAGGCTTTCTGGAGGCGAGGAAATACATCAGCCCAAAGGATGTGACCCGATTCCTGGACGAGCATCTGCGCGCGCGGATAGGCACGAGGTTGATTGCGGAACAGCATCTGTCTCTTCACTTCTCCAGTCAGCCGCATTGCGAGATGATGCATGAAGTAGACGAGAGCCCAGGATACATCGGCGTTATCGACACAAGACTCAGGCCGGCGAGGATTGTAGACCACTGCGCCAACGTGGTGGGCGAGATCTGTGAGCTGAAGTATGGCGTCCGGCCGACCATCGTCATCAACGGCGAACCCGACTACGAATTCGCGCATATACCCGTCCATCTCGAATACATCATCACCGAGTTGCTCAAGAACGCGTTCCGCGCGACGGTGGAAAGCGGCATGGAACGCGAACCCATCGAAGTGACCATCGCCCCGCTTCCAGAACTTCTACCCGAAGATGCAAGCAGCGAGAACTCAAAAGACATCCGAAACAAGAAGGTTGACAATGAGGATCAGGGCAATGTAGATCAGGTCTCACAGCGCTTTACAGGCAACAGCTCGCCTACGTCTCCACCGTCCGACTCGAACATTCTCCCGCTCAAACACAGCACACCCGGCGTGACGATACGAATTCGAGACCGAGGCGGCGGCATCTCCCCCGATAACCTCTCACACATCTGGGACTACAGCTTCACAACTTTCAACGACGCGCAGGCAATTACCACCCTTTCCGGTGGTAGCAATTCAGCCACCGGCATGGATGCTCTGAACGCCTTCTCAGGGGCAGGAGGCGATGGAGTGAACAGTCTAGCGGGGCTGGGATACGGACTGCCGTTGGGAAGAGCCTATGCGGAATACTTCGGCGGAGGTATTGCAGTACAGAGTCTCTGGGGGTGGGGTACAGACGTGTACCTCAGCTTAAGAGGAGTGGGCAGAGTAGACACCGTACAGGAGGCTAGGGAAGACGCGGGGAGGCAGAGATGAAGGAATCACAGGCAGACGACGTCACGTTGTCGGTAAAGCCGTTGATTATCGTTATATACCCATGAAATCATATGCTCATGCATCATGCCCTATGCTTCCGCTCATTGGCCTACATCTTGATCTTTGTGCACCCATCAGCGGCGGTCGTGTAGTAGCTCTATTGTGTTTTCATCTCTCCGTCCGCCTCGACGTTGACGTGCTCGTTGGACGAGAGGGTGGTGACCACGCCTTCGGGGATCTCGGCGCTGCCGTGTGTCATTATTACTGCGGGGAAGTTTGGGTATAGAGACGCGTACCTGAAGCCCTTGATAAGAGTGAACTCGTTGGTGATCTTGCCGCCCTGATCGATAACGTGCTGCTTTGCGTTGTCGAGCTCCTCCTTGGGAGCGGATTCCTTGAGGGTGACCTTGCATCCGTTAGTATGATACAGACTGCAGTGTGTTGGGGAGGACTCACCATGAAGGCAGGCATGTTGAGAGTTGGTAGCGAGGTTTGCTGGTTTAGTTGAGGGGTAGTTTAGTGAAGCTGAGTTGCAGTGTTGTGGTGTTGATGCAGCAAGGTCAAAGCGTGTCAGTGGCTTATATACCTCAGCTATCTCTCCATCGGACCCTGTCAACAAGCAGTCTAGAGCCTTGGATAGGCGGCGTCTGACGATGACGTGCGCTGTCCAGACTATGCCCACCCTCGGCGCCATGTGAGACAGCCTGCCCCACCACCCGTACGTGGGAGGCGCGCGCTCTTATCGATAAGCCCATCCCTGCAGCTGCGGCCTTAGCGGCTGGACTAGCGCCGAAAAAGTTGGGATCGTGAAGTTGCTTGCCGCTCCAACTTTGACTTTGCGCGCGACGAGTCGAGACCCAACACGCCACTCTGACGACTTCCACTGAAGTCTGAGAGTGCGATACGACAACCAGCAGATATGGCGGACGCACAGAGTAATAGGCCGCATCGGCCGAAGAAGGAAAAGAAACCGCATACGGGCGACAAGAACCCCAAGGCTTTCGCATTCTCAGCGCCGGGCAAATTGAAGCGGAATGCTGCGCGCTCCACTGAAGTATGTAAGGCTCGAAGCTGTGCGCCACTCTGGCTAACATTTCCAGGTCAAAGAAAAGCGCCTCCACGTCCCGCTCGTCGACCGTCTTCCCGAAGAAGCACCTCCCATCATCGTCGGCGTCGTCGGCCCTCCCGGTGTCGGCAAGACTACTCTCATCAAGAGCTTAATCAGACGGTATACCAAGCAGACCCTCTCCACGCCCACGGGCCCCCTCACAGTCGTCACCTCGAAGCGCCGCCGCCTCACGTTCCTAGAATGTCCCGCCGACTCGCTCGCCAGCATGATCGACATCGCAAAAGTGGTGGACATAGTGCTGTTGATGATTGACGGCAACTACGGCTTCGAGATGGAGACCATGGAGTTCTTGAACGTCCTGAGCGCAAGCGGTATGCCCGGAAACGTCTTCGGTATCCTCACACATTTGGATTTGTTCCGGAAACAGGAGACGCTCAAGCTGCAGAAGAAGAGGCTCAAGCACAGGTTCTGGAGCGAATTATACCAGGGCGCCAAACTCTTCTATCTCAGTGGTGTGGTCAATGGACGGTACCCAGACAGGGAGATTATGAACCTCTCGAGGTTTCTGAGCGTCATGAAGAACCCCAGACCGCTGGTGTGGAGGAATTCTCATCCGTACTGCTTGGCGGATAGATTCCTGGATATTACGCCTCCGACCGATATCGAGCAGAACCCTAAATGCGATCGCACGATTGCGCTGTACGGATATCTGCGCGGCACGAACTTTCCCGCTGGGTCGTCGAGAGTACACATACCGGGTGTTGGAGATCTGACAGTCACTGCGACGGAAGCGCTACCCGATCCATGTCCGACACCGTTTGCAGAGAAGGCAGTGGAGAAGGCTTCTGGAAAGAAGAAGCGCACAAGATTGGGCGAGAAGCAGAAGATTCTGTATGCGCCAATGTCGGATGTTGGTGGTGTGCTCGTCGACAAGGACGCTGTTTACATCGACGTCAAGACTGCCACGTTCGATCCCGAGGCGGATTACTCTGAGAAAGGTCTGGGCGAGCAGATGATGATTGGACTGCAGGGTGGACGGAAGCTGCTTGGTGAAGACGACGGCAACTTTAGGCTGTTCAAGGATGGCGACGTCGTTGACAACAAGACCCTCGAGAACGATACTGCGGATACGGGTCGACGGTCTCAGCGCACGGCTAGGGCAGCAGACGCTGAAGAGGTCGACGATGAGGATCTCGATGACATCGACAGCGACGACGAGGAACTGCAGCAGGACCACAGCGATGCCGACGACGACGAAGACGATACTGGATTCTTGGATACCAACGGCCCCCCGAACGGCAAGCTCAAGATCTCGCGCAAAGAGAAGGAGGCGGACACTGCCGAGGACGTAGCGTTCGCGGACAGTGACTCCGATCTCGGCTCAATATCTGGCGATGAACAGGATCTAGAGGATCTCGAAGAGGGCGATCTTGATTCTCAAGATTCAGACTCAGATGAAGCTGAAGATGGCGCACGGTGGAAGGCAAATCTCCGAGAGAATGCTGCGAAACTACACGGGCGGAAACGACCGTACCGCGTCACAGACCTGGCGAAGATGATGTACAATATGGATCTAGCGCCGGGAGAGGTCCTCAAGAAGTGGAGATGCGATGAAGAGGAGGAAGATATTGAGGAGGAGGGTGACGAGGATGATGGCTTCTTCAATAAAAGAACAGCCGACGATGCTGCCAACGCTGAAGACCGTTACATTCCTAAGTTCAACTACGAAGAACTGGCCGAGAAATGGGAAGACGAGGACAACGTCGAGGCTCTCATGGGTCGCTTTGCTACTGGTCATATGAATGGCAAGGGTGGTGATGATGACGAAGATAATGACGACTTTGAAGGCTTCGACGAAGACGACGAGGGTGACGGCGAGTTTGAGGATCTTGAGACTGGTGAGAAGCACGGTGGTGAAACCGAGAACACTGGGGCTGAAGCTGAAACAAACGACATCGAAGCAGAGCGCGAAAAGAACGCTCGGCGGAAGGAGGAACTGAAGCTTCGGTTCGAGGAGGAAGATCGCGAAGGTTTCATGAACGACAAGGCTGATGCAAGAAAAGAGGGTGGTGGTGAAGAAGAGTTCGGCGAAGACGATTGGTACGACGCACAGAAGGCCATGATCCAGAAGCAACTGGACATCAACCGCGCCGAGTTCGACCAACTGGATGAGATATCTCGTGTTCAGGTTGAAGGCCACAAGGCGGGAACATACGCTCGCATAGTGCTCGAAAACGTACCCTACGAGTTCTCCGCACACTTCAACCCCCGATTCCCCGTTCTCATCGGTGGCCTGACGCCAACTGAAGAGCGCTTTGGCTTCGTTCAGATCCGCATCAAGCGCCACAGATGGCACAAGAAGATTCTCAAGACGAACGATCCCCTCATCTTCTCGCTGGGCTGGAGACGATTCCAAACTACGCCCATCTACAGCATCTCCGATTCACGAACAAGGAACCGCATGCTAAAATACACACCCGAGCACATGCATTGCTTCGGCACCTTCTACGGCCCCCTCGTCGCCCCAAACACCGGCTTCGTCTGCATCCAATCCCTCTCCAACAAAACCCCCGGTTTCCGCATCGCAGCCACGGGCGTCGTCCTCAACGTCGACGAATCCACCGAAATCGTCAAGAAGCTAAAACTAACCGGCCACCCCTACAAGATCTTCAAAAACACCGCTTTCGTAAAAGACATGTTCAAATCGAGTCTCGAAATCGCAAAGTTCGAAGGCGCAAGCATCCGCACCGTCTCTGGCGTCCGCGGGCAGATAAAGCGCGCTCTCAGTAAGCCCGAAGGAAACTTCCGTGCCACGTTCGAAGACAAGATCCTCATGAGCGATATCGTGTTCCTCAGGGCGTGGTACCCCATCAAGCCCCGCCGCTTCTACAACACCGTCACCAACCTGCTCAACCCCGCCCTCCCAGGCCAGGACGGCGAGTCCACATCCTGGACGGGCATGCGCCTCACGGGTCTCGTCCGCTACGAAAACGGCATCGCCACGCCCTCCGAGAAAAACTCCGCCTACCGCCCCATCGACCGCCCCACCCGCGTCTTCAACCCCCTGCGCGTCCCCCGCAAACTCGCCGCAGACCTGCCCTTTAAATCGCAGATCGCGACGGTCAAGCCGCAGAAGAAACAGACGTATATGCAGAAACGCGCTGTTGTTGTGGGCGGCGAGGAGAAGAAGGCAAGGAGGCTGATGGATCAGGTGGTTGCGATTAGGAATGATAAAGTGGAGAAGAGGAGGAAGAAGCAGGAGGAACGCAAGGATCCGTATAAGAAGAAGGTCGCCGAGAATGCGGAGAAGAGGGCGGAGAGGGAGAAGAGGGAGAAGCAGGAGTATTGGGCGAGGGAGGGGAAGAAGAGGAGTCATTCTGGGGGGGATGAGGGTGGGGGGAAGAGGAGGAGGTAGATGATGAACCTTTTTTTGGAAAAGATAGTGAAGTAGCATTTTGTGGCGTTTAGATATGGTATTGTAGTTGAAAACATCATTTGCTCGTTCACATCTGACGAGGTTCTGTTTTGTGCATGCACTGACATTTCACCAGCATGCTGATCTCAGGGTATCGTAGTGAGACTTGATCTTCTTATTGTAGCATCCGCCATTACACAATATAGTCCCCGAAGCCCCATCGCTTCACCAGATTAACTATTCTGCCTACATGTGCGCAATGTTATACACCACCACCATATTGCGCTGCTGTCTTCCCACCAAGATCCTCTTCTAATACGACCCCGTGGGCCAAACAACCCAATGCCATTCGAAACAAGTCATATGCGCCGCCCATATGCAACGCAATCATCTAGTAGAAAAAAACCCAAAACAGAAGCTACATATGCTCCTTACAGAAAATGCTAATGCCATGAGATATAAAACGCCAGCTGGAGTAGCAACCCGGACATGCAATGTGAGAGAGAGAGAGAACGA